TTTCTCTTTTTCTCTCTTTCTTTTTTTTTTCCTTTTTCCCTCTTTCTTTCTTTTTCCAATAAAACGAGGACCCTGCGCCAAAAAACCACGGCCTATAGACGTTGACTGTATGCTACTGGACTGAAAAACTGGTTTGTGAACCTAAAGGATAATTACCTAGGCCGGACGAATCTAGGGAGGATGGTTATGATCGGAGTTGGGAATCAAGTAGACGAGCCAGGAAATTCAGGGAAGTTATCGCCAGTTCTAATCCCTACCCATACCATACCATCAGTCACCACCGCGACCATGGCCGCAATCCGCCATACCGACATACACGGTATTCTGGCCGAGGTCCAGACACTCCTTCAGAAGAACCAATACGTCGACAATCACGGCCTACAGAATCTCTCTGACACCCTGACAGCCGCTCTGGAACTCGAGCCCCGCGTTGTCCACTTCTCTTTTGCCGAACACCCGGAGGTGTTTGATTTACGATGGCATTCGCCTGGAAACCTACGAGGCGGTCGCTCGGTATAAGCGAGACTTGCAACGACCCATCCTGATAACGGGAGTCTTTATCGCTTCTCGCATCGGCTTCCCCCAAGGACAATTCGAGATTTTAAAAATTTCGACCGCGTTGAAGGGGCCCATTGGAGGTTGTCGCCATACTCTTCATAGTGTCAGTCCGCATGGTCAATGCGATCACAAAACGTTCGCCGCGAAGAATGCATATCGCGACGTTGAAGCTGTGTCGGAAGGAAGCCTGCACACCATTACGACAAAGGTCCCTCAACGGTCGGCACAATGGGGCTTAGAGTATCCATGATTAGCTGGCATATGCTAGTAGAGCAAGGTGACTTCGAGTTTCTTACATAGTACAAGTGTGCCAAAACACCTCGCTCTAATAAGGCAGCATGTTGGGTACTAGGCACCACACTAGGCACTACTAACACCTAATTTCTCCCGCAGCTACTACAGCACTCCGCCCTCTTTTGTTCATCAACTTTAGCCACACCTTGCCAGACCTAGACTGAGAGATCCAATTGAGATCACCAAACTCTTGTGGCCCGTAGCTATAATCACACTCATTTACTTCATAAACCACTTCTCCCTTTATTTCCACGTGTACCCGGTACTGACCTCAAGGACTCTGATCTGACAAGATTCGACGTAGTGCGAGTCGTGCGCTCAGTTATTTTCTTGCCTTTATACTATACTTGAATAGATCGGTGGATGCTGCTGAAATAAAATGCGGTATTTTATACTATCTTTGGTTTGGTCTAAAGCCGGCAATTTCACTGTTCGGAGATTATTAAGCTTTCTGATGGTTGGATTACTTGCTGCCGGCGAATGAAACTGATACCATACCCAGTAAGTGACGCTGGGCTATGCTCGAATGGCTGTGGCATGGCATCGAGCATCATGTTCCAATCAAACAGAAATGTATTACCCTGTAGTTATATACCCACCCAAGTATTTCTGTCATGACCAAAATTGCCTCTTTTCAGCACTGCAAAGCGCAGCTTGACAAGATATTCCAACGACGTTCACAAGAGTTGAATGCTCGCAACACGGAGCAGTTTGCCTGTGGATCAGTGCAATATTCGGACACTACATCGTGGATGAAATCCTATCTCAATCAACTTCGGGAGTTCAGCACTTGTTGGTATTCTATATATGAAGTTCAAGTCAAAGTCTATGACAATTTAATCATCGAATATGAATGTAGTCCTTATTAGTTCCATTTCCTGTTGCAATGACAACAAGGTGCAGAGTATGAGAAAAAAAAACCCACAAAAACGATCACCGGTTATAGCCGCACCCAGACCAAGGACGATCTTATCCAGAGAAGCGGGATGGGACCGCGAGTTATTACATGCGCTCTAGTTGTTCTTATCAAGCCTAAGCATATATCTGTTGAATCATATGAATGTGCGTAGTGCAAAAAGACATCAAAATCAAAAAAAAAAATCAACTTCTCTGGAGAAGCGGGGAATTGAACCCCGGACCTTTCCCAATCAATATTCGTAGAATGCGAAGGGAACGCCATACCACTAGACCACATCCCCTAGCGTTGTTTAAAACAGCGTTTAGAAGAAACTAGAGCACTTTGTTGTTTTTGTGGCTTGCATTCTGTATAGTTTGGGGAGGTGTGGAGGGTTGGGGTGGCTTGGTCGGTATCTCCCGGGTCTCGGAGCTGACCGGAGCAGGAGCGGGGCCTACTAAGTTGTGGACAGGATAAATGAGAACGCGTTTGGACGAGTAAATTGATTGCAAGGGATAAAAGTGCCTTTCTTATAGAAGACTTACTTTTCATTTTTCCAAGACATGTGTCTGACCCATGAAGACGGACTATGGTACAGTAGTCTTTTTGTGTGAGCCCAATGGCCAAGACGTATTTGGCTGGCCTGTTTTCGAATGCCCAGTAGAAAGACACTTTCAAATGTTGTCAGTGGGCCTCGAATCATATCTTTTGCTGTACTTGGATTTTTGACCATCTCGCAATTACGCAGAGCGATGACGGCAGCAAATGAATTCCCGGGACTTGACGAGTTGAAACTTCATTTGGTACTTGAGTATTTATGCGATTTGTCATTCTATGGTAGCATGTCGTCGACTATACGTTGGCTGTCGTTGGCCACTATAGTAAAGCGCCGACCCGACAATGTGGGGGAAGGAGCGACCAAGTATGCACCCGCCTATATCCACAGCGACTGCCCAATCACGCCTGATCTTTATGGAACAATACCATTTCGCAGCATGATAAAAGAGTTAGATTCGTCAAATTAATTGACAAGTGATTGTAGCGGAGGTCGTATAGCTCAGGACTATGCCTCGCCACTCGGAGCAGCACGCAGGCAGCCGGTGATGCATCATACCGCAAAGCAATGCACTGATTGTCTACGCTCAAGACTCCTTGACCTTGACTGGTCCCTTGAGCAGACTCGCAATTCTCAGAATAAATACCCAGGCAAGCATACACGCCTCCAGGCCCAAAAGACCAATCCAGAGCGTGTCCAAGATGTGCACCTCCAAGCCCCAAGGCAAAAGACCCTCCAGGTTCCAACGAAGTGGCCCGTATGTGATCTGCATCACTAGAAATGCGACGAATGTGTAGTAGGTATACCAATATGGCCTGCAGGACCCGTGTTAGTTGAATGTGTCCACATGCTCTCAATTCGATATAAACTCGACGGTATTATTGTAATACTAGAGGTTCATGGTAGATAATCATCCATGAGCCGCAACCAGTAATACTGCATGTCTCATGGAGTAAAATTACACAAGAAATAAACTCGAGACTCGAATGATATAATGAAAAACACAAATTGAAAGAATCACTCACTTAGTCTTTTCTGTAATTAAAGTCCATTTCGGCCTTGGATCAGCGTAACTCTGCGATGCCTGTAGCGCAAGGACGAGTCCGCAAGCAATGAAAACCCAAATGAGGAGAATTCGCTGAAAGAGGCTGAGCTCGTGCTGTGGAAAATATGATTCCAACATGTTTCCTTTATTCCTTGCACGGTCTCGGCCTGAACCTTTCTTATTCGAGTCAAGTGACTGGTTGTCTCAAAAGTGTCCTCAAGGAAGCGTTTGGACACGTTGTATTTAGTTTCTTTTGGTGATCCTGGCTGAGAGGCGCCGAGGCGGCGTGGGTGGTATTCACTAAATTGGGGTGACTTTGGTTCCTGCGAGACAATTTGGGCTTCTAGAATTTGGAAAAGACAATCATGATCCGGGTATATTCAAGAAGAAGCAATGGAATCGGTAAAAGCAAAGAAACGGCAAGGTGGCTATTTAAACAATTCGTACTTTTTGCTGCTTTTAAACAATCTTTCATGTACAGGTCACTGAAACCGAGCCCAAGCTGAAATCGCCTTCATCTTACCCGGTTGTACGGTCCGAGTATTCCAGGTACTGAAAGCCAGGGTCCCCGCATTAAAGGTAGGATTCGCCAAATCGTGGGAAATGCAAGGATGTTCAATCTCGGATGGCACGAGGCGTTGTCCTTGGGAGTCCTTGGAACAGAAACGTTCAGCCATTTAATAAAAGTATACAATTCGTAAAGCGGAGTCGCGTTCGTGTATATACATATACTACAGGATTACCATACTCGTCGTAAAGAGTAGAACAAGTCATCATTCAAGTTGGACGCAATGCCGTACTCCATAACTCAACCAAAAGAACACCGTTCCCAGCGCCAACTCCACAAGTGATGCATTGTACAATAGTTGTCGTTTCGCGTTTAGGATCTAGCCCTTCTGCGAGCGTCGAGTTTCTCCTGCTCACGGACATCACCTCCAGACGCCTTCCACCATGTATCAGTTCCCCATCGAAGCATTCGCTCGCATGCTTGTGTCGGGGTCATTGCGGGGCGGACGTCGAGATAAAAGACGGGCTCGCCGGTTTCCTCGGGGGCGCCCGAATAGTAGTCAATAATGTAGCGGATTTCCTTCTTCTCGCCATTGATTTCACGAGAGACGAACCAGTCGTGGCGATCGAAGGGGGGTTCCGTACTGCAGTGATTTGTTAGCATGCGACAAGCTCAAAAGGCAATTGCAACTTACCCAAACATGGCAGGATACAGCCAGCCCATGACTTGAATCATGGCGGCCTTGGGAGTCATTTCCTGCGGCCTTCCTTGGAATCTGACCAGACTGGGTGCAAGGTCGTCAATCTCCTTTTCATAGCCATATTTCCTTGCCATTTTATCAAAGTTGTGCTCTCCGGCCGAGCATAGCTGCCAGCCCTTTTTCAGACCTCCGGCAAAGCGCTTCTCCCATTCCATGATTTCGGCCCAGGCGCCTTCGTTGAGAAAGTTGTGCACGCTGACCATGCTCTCTACGGCTGTGACGTCTGTATCGGTATATCCCTTGCGCAAGAGGGCATTGTACATTTGCTGTGGCGAAGGATACTCCCATGTGCCGGCACCGTCACCTCGAGGGATGGTGGATTCCTCGCGTTCGGTGGGAAGGGCGTGTGTCTGCTGAGGCGCTTTTTCTTGGGACAAGTCACTGAACATCCAGTTGAGAGGGTTCAGTTTCGAGAGTGTTGAAGGTTCTTCTGCGGGCTTGGAAGCCGCGTGAGGTACGGGACATGCTGAAGCGAGCGGTGCGGCGGGTTTATCGTGTTTGACTGGGCAAGCAGCAGGAGTAGGCATCGCGTCGTGCTTGACGGGACATGCTGCCGGAGGAGCCATGGCTTCGGCAGTCTTTTTGTGCATGGGACATTGTGGCTGTTTCCTTGTCAGACGTGTACGAGGAGACCATAATCTGGTATGTTGCGACTAACCGGTGGTGATTGTCCATCAACAGGGAATGGGTGAGGTGCAACAGGCTTTGCAGAAGCCTGGCTGGCGGGAGAGTCTGCCCAGAACCAACCCATGTCGGATATGTTTTTGGTTGCTGCTGATGCGAGTTTCGCGGATTTGGTGCTTTCCTATTCGTGTTGTTGGTTTGACAAGTGCCGTGATCAGTGAGGCTGTCGCAAAGAAAATTGAATATGGCTGATTTGGTTGCGCAATCGATCTGCAGATAAGAAGAGATCCCGTCAACTTTTTGCCAGTAGAAATTGCCCCGGCCAAAGACGGAGCCCAGCTTTTGATCAGCAAGGTTTGCAAAGGTCCCGATTGGTGTATTCCATGACACTAGCTACTACCCGTTAGCGCCCTCCTTTCAACGCCGCGCCGGCCGATATGGGAGCCAAGTGACAAGTGCTGTACGTCACTATTCCTCAGTCGTCGCGAGCCAGCAGACGCAGTGCCTGGACAGTCGTTAGCTCTGAGCTTGTCGCAAACCGCCAAACCACGTTTGCGTGCCGCCAAAACTCCCATCGAATGCTGCAACAATGATCCGTCGCTCCTCCAGGCGACACCCATATTCGTAATACGATGAGGACAGTCTGCCTCTTGGGCCGGCTGTGCGCTCGTCGAGGTGCAACTCAAGCCCGTCCGAGTATACCGAGGCTCGCCAACCCAGGTCTCGCTAGATGGCAATCGACTTTCCAACACGGCGGCCGCTCACAATGGCAGAGTCCACCACCCTCCAAGTTTGTCCTCTACGCGGCCGCTCAAGGAGTCGCTCTCGGAACCGCTGCTTTTATCAAACTTGCCGAAAAGGACGAAACGACCGAATTGACTTCTGAAGAGCGCATGCTACAAGTTTCACGGCAAGAAATCCGCAAGTCCAAGGATGAGACGAGTGGTTTCTTTACACGTTGTCGGAATAACGTCACATATTATGTCGACGTGTATTTCTGGGAGCCAATTTGCACAGGCATCCGGTTTCTACATTTGGTCGTCATTTTTGTGCCGGTGATAATTACAGTTCCTGCCATATGGTTTGGTAGTCGCCAGCCGGACCGCGACAATGAGAGAACCGGAACCATTTGGTGGTACACCTTTTTGGTGCAAGCAATGGAATGGGCAGGTCCAGCCTTTATCAAGGTATGCTCGTCAAATTCAAGACCATGGCAGGCCACTGACACTATTCGCAGCTTGGCCAATGGGCCGCCTCGAGAACAGATATTTTCCCAACCGAGATGTGCGACATCATGTCCAAGCTACACTCGAACGCGCCCGCCCACTCGATTCATGCTACCAGAAAGACGCTAGAAGCTGCCTTTGACGGACGGCCCTTTGACGACATTTTCGAAGAGTTTGACGAGAAACCATTGGGAGTGGGAGCTATAGCCCAGGTGTACAGAGCAAAATTAAAGCCCAGCCTGAGCGCACCGGCCGACACGGATGTGCTGGATTCAAACGGCAATCTACGTCAAAATGTTCGAAAACAGGTCGATCCTCTGCTGAAAAGTACACCCAAGAGAGTACCGTCTTCATATGTCGCCATCAAAGTCCTCCACCCCCGGGTCGAGCGGACAGTCCGACGCGATCTACGCATCATGAACTTCTTTGCGTCTGCCTTGAACCTCATCCCGACGATTGAATGGCTCTCGCTGCCAGATGAGGTGGACCAATTCGGCGAAATGATGAAGTTGCAATTAGATCTGCGCATTGAAGCTGCCAATTTGGTCAAATTTAGAAAGAATTTCAAGGATCGCACAACCGCCTGGTTCCCGTTTCCCTATCTAGAATTTACTACGCGAAATGTTCTAGTCGAGGAATTTGCCCAGGGCATCCCTTTGGCCGACTTTATGGAGAATGGCGGTGGCATCTTTCAAAAGGACATTGCCCAAGAAGGATTGGACGCCTTTTTGCGCATGCTCTTGCTCGACAATTTCGTTCACGCCGACTTGCATCCCGGTAATATCATGGTTCGCTTCTATGAGGCCAAGCAACCCAACATTCCTGGTCTGAGGCATCCTGGCCAGGACCCACACAAGCCGCATCCCGAGGAACAAGACGATGTCACGGAACAGATCCTTGAGCGCCTACGACCCTACCGCAAACAAAAGGATACTTCTGCTTGGCTGGCGGAGCTCAAGAAGATCGATGCCGAAGGCTATCACCCCCAGCTCATCTTTATAGATACGGGTCTAGTCACTGAGCTCAATGCAACAAACCGCACAAACTTTATAGACCTCTTCCGGGCCGTTGCCGAATTTGATGGTTACAAGGCTGGCCATTTAATGTGCGAGCGATGCCGGCAACCTGATGCAGTCTTGGATAAAGAAGTCTTTGCCTTGAAGATGCAACACCTTGTCCTCAATGTCAAGAGTAACACTCTTGCTCTAGGCAATGTCAAGATTGGAGATATCCTTCAAGAGGTGCTGGGCATGGTTCGAAGCCATCATGTGCGTCTCGAAGGCGATTTTGTCAATGTCGTTATAAGCATTTTGCTGCTTGAAGGCATTGGCCGGGCTCTAGACCCCAATGTAGACCTGCTCAGTAGCAGTCTGCCCATCTTGAGAGAGTTGGGCGCCAGGGGTGGAGCACAAGCACTCAGAGGAGGTGACTTGCATATGTTGGCAATCTGGGTTGGATTAGAAGCGAGACGTTTCATGCAAGCAAGTATCGAAGATGTGAGTGTCAATCATACCCGTTTTCATCCCGGATGCTAACTACCGCCTAGGTCGAGAGATGTGTCAAGTATGACCTTTTAGCACCAAACGTTTAGATTCAGCCTTGTAGGACGATGAGCGACAAGATTGTAGAGCTCTACAACATAGATGTATGCATAAATCGGTGTTGAAGATGGCCATGGAGTTGGATTTTAATTGGTCATATTTACACATGATAGAATATTCAATCTCGGCTAGTGTTGCAATAATACAAATCCCCAATCTCGCTTGAAAGAGTTTCTGGACTTTTACAACTTTTAGCTGGATGTACCTGAACTCGATTCTGCTCGAGTTGTGGCTTGACTTTTTGGTGTACATATATTGAATAGCCGATAATCAAGCGAAACTGCATGATTGACTTTTCCGACACTTGCGGACCTGAGTATGAGCCATGAACAGTCATCGCGATGAAATCCATGGCTGTGCATCCATCACGAGGTAGTGCACTTGCGTAGCTGCAGGGGCTTCAACTAGTATCCGAGACAGAAACCTTGCAGATGACTCGGGGCAGCTACAGCACCCCTCCTTTGCCAACAGAGTTGTTCTAGAAGGGATCAAAAGTTACTGAAGCGTTGAAGAAAGTGTTTTGCCCACGGCAAGCAATTGCAACGTGTTGCGGTCGATGTGCTGAAATTACGACATTCTAATCTGGCGAAAATTGTCAGGTATAAAAGTTCCTTAAACAGCACAGTCCTCACTATAGATTTTCCATTGCTCCCAGTTTGACACTTGTAAATACATCACCCTCCGTCTCTCTCCTGTCTGTATCTGCCGGGAAACTCTCCGCCTCTCGATATGCTAGGAAACACCAAACTTGCTGGTGTCATCAGTCGCGGCACAAGAAACAGCACTAGACTCTCTAGCCAAGTCTTAAAAATCATCAGACGACAAGTGCTGTTACAACCTCAGGCGCTAGGATGCACGCCGACCAGGCCGGCACAACTAGGTCATCCAAGTGTGTCCTTGGGCTGAGAATCGACGGCGTCCTCCAACGGTCACTCCTTGGGTATCTCGAGCCTATATTCGTAGGGACGGCGGGGTTCACGTGGAATGATTTGTAATATAAACAAATCTACGCATCTCATCCTGCTGATCTACGGAGTCTAGGTATTCTATGCATGCAATATGACAGAGCACAAGGTTGGTCATGATGATTTCTCTAGATTTGTCTCGCTAAACATTAAAAATTATCGTTCTAATAAACCTATTGACCTTTTGATCGCTTTTTGGAAAACTGAGGGCGGCCGTCATATATACCACCCCAAGTATCCATCCAATTCGTAGCTTCGGCCGTAGATCGTACTGATGAATTCGTCCTAAACGTCTGCGGTACATTAAAGGCCGGTTCTGTTGATGTGGCTGCCGTAAAGGAATTATACCGCTGCTGCGACAGGGAATACTGCCGCTCCACCGAGGTCCAGCAGGAACACGTGCCCGACTGGACCAGAGATAATAGATTGTTGAGTACCAGGGCCTCCACCTTGAGCTTGATGCTGTACACGACTGGCTTGTACGTCGTCTGAATCTGAAAATTGTTGGTGTACTCGGTAATCATGAGGGAGACGTCGAGGGTCACGACCAGGATGAAGAGGGCCATGAGCTCGCGGTTGACGGCCCGGACCCGGGGGCCCTTGATCACGTCCATGAGCTTGAGGCCTTCCGAGGCCTCGTAGACGTACAGGCCAGATATAATGGCCTCTTGCAAGGTAAAGGCGGTGATTTGGACCTTTTCGTAGACATTAAAGATGCTCTCTGCGAGGTCGCGCCCGGGGCTGCTGGAGTTGGCCGTGATGAATAGGACCGCCGTCGGAATCTGTACGGCCAGGAACATGGTGATGATCATGACGAGGACCCAGCGAATCTTGCGCGGATCGCCCACGACGAGGTGCAGGCGCGCGTACAAGACCACGGCCTGGCCCGTCACCATCATGAACCACCCAAAATCGATTATGACACACATGGGGAGGTTGGGCGCCAGGCTAAAGAAGCGCAGCAAAACGGACGTGGCGTGAATGGGGATGCCCAAGTCGGCCACCACCATGCTCCAATAGTAGAGTCCTCGCTTTCGCTTAAAGGTTGACAAGATGAAGATGAAAATCTCAATGCTATTATAGCAGGCCAGGGCAAAGAAGCCGCCAATGACCATGGCCACTGGCAGCGACACATGATTGACTATAGGGCCCGTCTCGCCCGTCATCATGGGCATCGGAACAGCAGGAATGCTGAAGTCGTTGTTGTACAGTTCATTGGGGCCTATACCGGGCATATGGCTGGCCAAGCAAGGCCGGGTCGTCTGGGCAAAAGGATGTCGTCGGAGGATTGTGGTGAGGTTTGCGGAAAGTGGGATGACATGAGATGGAATGAAAAGAAAGAAAAAAGGTATAAAGTTATTCCTGACTGCGGCCGGCAGCAAACCTACACAAGGTCGACACACACCTTGTTTCCTTTTTTTTCCTTCGAGGTCGTTATTTCAGGCCAGGAAAAGGCATGACGACTACGGCAAAGGGTAAAAAGTCTAATGTTGCTGCCCCCCTGCTGATTGCTGAAAGCCAAGGATAGCCAAGATGGCCCCAGCAGTACCAGTGGCAGGGCGACTAGTATATTTTGCGACATCATCTTGATGCTTATACTTTTGGCCAGCATGGTTGCCATCCAATAGCGTAGCCAGGCATTCAGCGGTAGTCGCTAGCAGCAGACGCACAAAGACGCATCTCCCTTACCCCCCATGCAGTGGCATGACTCGAAAGTGTTGATGGCCATACAAACCACACAAATCCCACATGGTTTTCCGTCGAGGTTGTCTTGGATTCATCCAACCATTTGGGCCCTTTGGACCATTGGGACCATTGGGCATTCAAGGGCGGGCAACATCCTGGGGTTGACTGAGGGCAAAAGAGAAACTAAATCACGGCCAAGCCGCCTAGGAAATCCCGGGGAGCTAGGCAGCCCCGGACCGTCGAGCTTGATGATTTACAAAGATGGAGCCATGCAGAAATACAATTGCTCAGGTAATCCCTGAATGAGGCGCATTGAATCAATCTCCTTGATTGCGGTACTCGTCTTGAGAGCATGGGACGACTCATGGGAAGAAAAAGTCCACTCGTACATGACACTGCGTACATGATATGCAAAAAGGCAGCGGGATACTCGTGGTCGCCGCACGTGGGATTACACCACACACCCACTCGGCCGACTCTGGTCAGGTCGCTTCATCCGTAGTGGGCGATCTTTGCCCACATTGCTGCATAAAACCACGGCGATCGTTGAAGATCCAGCAAGACGCATACAATGTACGACGGGACCGTCGCATGGCATGAGCTTGTTGTTTTCGTCTTGGGGTTTAGGGGTCGGCTGCAGGGCAGGAAATCCCGACGGTCAAAGGGTCTGGCCCGTCATTCACAAGCTGGAAGAAATAATCACCGTGCACACAACTGGGACATTATCCAAACCATTGTGGTATTGGTCGGATTCCTCTCCGACGCCTCACTTTCAACTAGTCAACCCTCCACATTCTGTCTTTTTACTACAAATGACGCTTGCCGCCCTTGGATCTGACCGGTCTCCCGAGTTTGCGGAGGCTCCTTTTCCTCGTCTGCGATTGTTCCGACCCCGAGAGGTCCCTCCTCTTTGCGGCGCTTGTGGCTGACCAAGTGGGCACAGGGTCCGGTCCGTTCAGTTCGGTATTGTACGTCGCATTGCTGGGCAGGACCTCGAATACAATGGTGCTGTTGCCCTCTCTGTAGTCGCTAGTCGCCGTGCCTACAGTCTTGTATGAACCGTTGCACGTCACATCCTCCTCTCCCGTCGCAATGTCTTTTCTGGCGAGCGCTCTTTCAAACAGCTCCAACGAGGCCAATGGCTGGTAGAATGGCACCTCGTGGCCAGACTCGTAAATGCGGACAAAGCTAAAGAGGTCGCTCTGCTTTACTTGACCGTGTACGACACCGTCAGACGTTGTAATATTGACAAAACCAGCATCGGTGAATCCTGGTGCATCAATCTCCTTGGCAACTGCCTGACCACCAAGCCAATTGCAGTTGTAGTCGCTATACGTGTTAGCGCCAGTCTTGACATGATATCAAATCACTTACGCATCTCCATAGTAGAGAATCACTTGGATTCCAGCAGCGAGCAGCTTTCGCACATCCTCAATGGTATTGGATTCACGATCGTCATCGCCGGTATTGGAAAAGGCCGTGTAGACGGTATTTGAGCTCTCGGAAAAGTTTTGGTACGCACCAATCGCGGCTTGCACCTCGGGAGTGTTGAGGTAGTCGACATAAAAGGAATACGGGAATGGATCCGGCGTCAGCTCCCGCATGTCGTACTCGTCACGGCCCGAGTAGACGTCGTACGGAGCCTCGACATTGTAGTAGCAAAAGTTGTCGGCTGCCGAGCACACCTCGTTTCGTCCAGTTTCCTTGCACTGCACCGTCTGATCATAGCAGTTGCCCGCTCCATAGAGGTTATTGTACCACTCGGCCTTTTGCGTATCCGTGTATGGATCGTAATCATACGTGTTACCCGGGTATACTGAAAAGTTGTAATAAGCCTGGTACTGGATCAGTGGATCAAACCATCCATTGCCAATCAAGACGTTCTCGAGTTCAATCTTGTGTGCGCCCGAAATGTTCTTTGCATTCTGCTCGAGAAAGTATTCTGGTACTCATGAGTCATTGAGCAGCAGTATGAGGGGAACACATGACAAACCGTTGAATACCGGGCCGTAGTGGCCGCCGTAGCTCTCTGTAGTGAAACTGAAGCCATTTCTCGAGTACTCGGGAAAGGCCCCCATGAATCCTTGAAGCGTCTTCCACATGTTTGGCGCCGCGCCCAGGGTAGTGTTGGGGACCAAGGTCAGGTCCGGCTTGGAATACGTTCCGCAAGTGCCATATTGCTCAGCGTAATCCGGGCAGGTCGTGTCTGGCAGTTGGACAATGTTGCCATAATCGTCCTCGTATCCAGGAATCGGGATCGAATAGGACAGACCAACCGTGGTCGGCTCGTCGACAAACAGCATGTTACTGACGTTGCTCCAAGAGTACGGGTTGTTGTATGGCTGCCCATTAATGTCTACTCCGCATGGCCCTAGTTCTTGGAACAAGCCGATCATGGAGGATGATCCCGGCCCACCATTGATCCAGACAGTCAACGGCGCCTGGCTACAAGTCAGTACTCGTCTTTTCGATGCGCGCCGCCAGTTCAATCGAGCTTACCTCGGTGGGATCCCCATTTCTGGCCTCGAAAAACCACCTGTTGCGGTCAGCGCCATTCCGTTGACCAATTGACAGTCTACTTGCCAGAAAATGTGTTGATTCTCATCAACATCCGCATAACCAGAATAGCTCTTGACATTTGGGTCCAACTCGCAGATTCCAGTGGGCACCTCCTTGTAACGAACATTGATGCCGGCATAACCCTCTTTGGTGATTAAATCGGTCGGCGCCGGCACGAATTGCGCAGCGACAAGAGGAAGCAGCACGGCGCAAGCCAGGCTCTTCATGTTGACTGACGACATTGGATCGGTAGACGAGAGAACGAGTCGCTGATTACAAGTGCAAGCCTCGGGGCAGAGAGCGCGAGCAAGGAGGAAAGAAGCAGGAAAAGCGCTCTCGCCCAAAAGATATCTGATCCATGACTACCTGTGCACCGAGCCGAGCTCCGTCATCTCCAAGCCGGGATCGGTCAGGGCCTGACTTGTCTGGTGCCTGGTCATGATGCGCCCCGGTCAATTGGCGAATAGTTTACAAGTGGTGTTGATCATCAGTTGCTGCCGACTAGTACCGTCTGGGAAGGTGACCCAAGTCGCTCCGCTGCGGGAATGCAAGATAAGCGTTCAAATGACGCTGATCCTGTCGGTATGGAGATGATATGGTAAATAAAAAGGACAGGGAATACGCGTTTGCAAGGCAATATCAATTATGGAATTGCACTTCCAATCATGGACATGGCCGATTTGTATCCAGGGACTGATTGTAATTGAGAATCACGTCACCCTGCCCACTGCCCCCACGAACCAATTCCAAGCAGAAGCACAATATCCGTCAAGTCAAGACTTTCTGTTTCAATTCGCCAAGCCTATACAACAAGTCCCGATGAACTGTACATGGCATTGCCTATATGAAGCCGTCGCCGAAGCATGCCAAGTTGAAAATGAGCTTCATCTTTCGAAATACGTTGTTGGCAGCTGCTAAAGACTGCCCAGCCTTTGTCGAGATGAAATAGAAGACCAGCCCCGTCTACCACCGGGACCATGTGACCGTTTGACAACATCACCATCGGACATGGTTTGTTCGACTGGTCGGAATGTCCAACTTGTCGGAGCGGTAAGTGAAAACAGGGTGTCCGAATTGTCTTTTGGACAATGACATGGGTTCAGTCCGTGATCGTGACGTGATTTTGATCTGGGCAACGGTCCTACAAAGACGCGCGCCGAATTAACTAGGCTGCTTCCTTGATACCGGCACAATTGGTGATGGCGACTTTGAAGAGGTGAAATTCATGTCCCATTCATTTACCTTGCGATCCGCCGCACATCCTTTCGATATCCGAACGGAGCTCCGATTGCCGATTCATGTAAAATGTGGCCTTTTGGTACCGCATACCCCGAGGTTGGAGCTCATCAGATCCCGTACGATGAATATGATTACATTGTTGTAGGCGGAGGCACCGCGGGATGTGCCGTGGCCTCTAGACTGAGCGAGGATCCAAATGTCAGCGTTCTGCTTCTCGAAAAGGGCGGTGTCGGAGACGGCTGGCTATCTCGCGTTCCGCTCATCTCTGGCAGCCTGGCCAAATTTCTTCAAGTGACACATCGATGGTCGGAATCCATTTCCAATTGCAATGGGAGACGGACCGACTTGTGGACTGGCGAGGCCCTAGGCGGCTCGTCAAGAATCAACCAAATGCTATACACTCGAGGCGTTCCGGGTGTATACAATCAATGGTCACAAATGGGGCATCCAGACTGGTCTTGGGAAAGAGTTGAACCATTCTTTAAAAGGATTGAAAACTGCGTCAGCCATCCCAAAGCTCAGCATCTCGGCCACGACGGGCCAATCCATATCATTCAGCATTTGCCTCAGTTTGAACTGCACAATCATATCGACAAGTCTGCAGCAGCAGTGGGCTTGCCTATAGAAACGGATGCAAACAACCCGGCTGGGCCGGCAGCTGGCTACTACTACCTGGACTATACCGTCGACGGCAATGGCTTTCGACACAGTGCATACAAGGCTTACCTCCCCAAGGAAGTGGCCATTGCTCGAAAGAATCGCTTGACAATTTGTACCCGAGTGATTGCTACTCGTCTCGACCTTGATTCAGAAAACAGTACCGTCAATGGGGTATACATCAAGTCTACACTTTCTCGAACTGACACTGAAAGACTCGTCAAGGCCCGGAGAGAAGTCATAATTACTAGCGGTGCGACTTGCTCCCCGCAACTGCTCATGTTGAGCGGCATTGGTCCGGCTGACCACCTGAGAGACCTTGGCATTTCAGTGAAAAAGGACCTCCCAGGTGTCGGAGCCAATTTGAGCGATCATCACGGTATCCCAATCATGCTCAAGGTCCCCGCTGCAGATAGCTTTCACCGCATGGAGTCCGACTACCTATGGGCCATTTGGCAAGTTGTCCGTTTTGCGTGGAACAAGAGTGGTTGGCTCAAGGCTGGTACAACATCGAGCACCATATTTCTCAAGACGGGAAACCTCGATCCCACGGAAGCGACTCTGAGGCCTTCACCAGATGGTCAGGAATTTGACGCTGCTGCCCCCGAGAACACTCCCGATCTTGAAGTCATGATAATCCCAGCAGGCACAGTTGTCGGCAAATATCCCGGCGTACCCCTTGTCACACTCTATACATGTCTGGTCCAGCCCGAAACTATTGGACGAATTGAATTGACATCATTGGATGCGACTGCAAGTCCCAAAATTCACTACAACATGTTGGAGAGTGCCGTGGATATCGAAGCCGCCCGCCGAGGAGTGCGGTTTAGCTTGAACCTTGCCGAGCAGTTTATGCAATCATCAGGCTACAAACATTCTGTCGAGCTGTTTCTTGCGCCCAATGCCGAGACTAACCGGAATTGGCGGGAACTCGGCGACGAGGAGATTGATGAATATGTCAGATCGTCAATTCAATCCGTTGTTCATCTCGGTTGCACGTGTCGGATGGCCAGGGAAGAGGATGGCGGTGTTGTTGATGATGAGCTCAAGGTCTATGGGTTCAAGAATCTTCGTGTCGCCGATGCAAGCATCTTTCCAAGGATTCCTGCTGCTCATACCATGGCGCCTACCTACATGGTTGCTGAGAGATGCTCCCAATTCATCAAGGATGCTTGGAAGACGACATGATCTCTACCAAAACACATCTAACCTTCCAAATGACACGCTGCCGAGTGTCTGTACAGAGCTAAATGATGGATGAATACAGTTTTTCTTCCCGCATTAGGTTGTGAAACTGATCCAGTGATCTTGGTCAAATATCCTCATGTCCTGCTGGGGAGAGTACAATGTTCAGCTACTTCCAAGATGACCATTATCGAAGCTTGCGAAAAAGCTATTCGTATCAAAATCATCACCAAAGACCCCAGGCCATTCCTCTCCAATATCAAAATCCAGAGGTTCGGGCTCGGAACGGTTCCCTCGGTTCTGATGGAGATGGTCAAACTGAGCCACATTCAAGGAAGAAGGCTCGACAAAGACCTGCAAGGGACTTGCGTCAATGCTAGGGATCCCGGCAGCTTGAACACCCAGATTGGCCGTTTCAGTGGAGTCCATGTTTAGCCTGCTACCCAATGGAGGTCGTGGTTGTATGGGAACATAAGGCGGGAGATTTGCGTCTTCGCGTGATGGCCCGGATGAGGGCTGTGAGCCAAGCTCGATACCACTGTCCGCGTTGGAGCTTGGGTCCGTCAAGACTGGCATTCGTACGCGCCGTCGTCCATTATGCTGCTGTTGTCTTGGTGCTTCTGCCGAGGAAGAGCCCTCAGAGGTGGTATTCTGAGATAGGCTGTCCCAATCAAATCGCCATTCGCGAAGGATTGCATGTATGACGTGATTCAGGGTCCTCTGGACCTCTTCATCATTCTCGCCACCACCGGACGCTAGAATTCCCCGATCACGCAAAATTTCGATGGCTACCGTCGTGCCGCGGCTCTCATAAAATTCGAGGAAATGGTTGAAATCTGGGGAGATACCAAGGTCCAGATAGGGAGATGAAGGCCGGCACAGACCTGGAAACAAGATATCCCAAACTACGAACCATTGTTGCGACTTGTTGAGGCCGGATCTTCGCTTGCGCGAGAGCTCGCTTTGCTTCTCTGATGTTATAAATTCAAACCGATTGTCTTGGAAGCTGCACTCAGCGTAGCGCAGGTGCGTGAGCTGGTTTGTCGTGTCAGGAAATACCTCTAAACATTTACCACAGTAGAATTTTGGCGTGTGACTACGGGCAAGGTGCTGCTTGATCCGGCAAATGTCGTCGAGGCTCTTGCCGAAGCAGTTGTGGTGCTTCCCCGGGTTCTGCTTCCAGAAGGGGCAAGCGAAAATCTGTAGGCTTTTGCCAGAGTCATGGTGTTTTGATTTCTGCCGCTTTGGTGGGGGATATGAATCATCATCGTCGCTGTTCCTGTCATTCTGTCCCATGGGCCGTTTTCTCGTGGACTCTATCGAATTGGCCTGAGTGGTACCCTCCCCGCGAGTGCTCTGCGTACTGCCCTGTGTTTTGCATGATTGCTGCTGTCCCGGACTGCATTGCTTCGTGTTGCTAGCACATTCATTTGCCGGACTCCATTTCGTGTAGCTTTGATACTCGGAAATCAAACGAGTAGCCACCACGGCCATGATTGACGACGTGGCATCATCAGAGTCTTGAGACCCGATCACGCTGTCTTCAGAAACGTCCGGTATCGATAGCATGTCCACGTCCAGGGAGTCTGAACAATCAGCTGTACTGCTTGTACATGGAGAAGGTCGAGTCGCTCCTGACAGCGAGTCTTTTCGTCGTTGAACCTCTGCGCTTTCTTTCTTGGGATCCAATCCTGGCTCTTGACCTTTGTTATACAACTCTGCAGTAGAACAAGCAGTAATAATGTGGCGACCTTGCCATATACGGACCAAATCTGGGCTGGACAGTGGTCTCTTGTCATCAGTCTTCAAGAAGCGTTGATGGCATGTACAGTCTTCTCTGGGAGAGCTGAGAATGTGCCAGATGGTCACACCTTGGGTTTGTGCGAATAGGTGCAAAACCTTTCCAGTCGCAGTCAGCAAAAATCGGTTTGCCTTTCCCATACATATCAGACTTGGTGCCAAACTGATAGGCAATTGCCAAGGTACCTCAATTCCAGGGCAGTTTCCGGGGCGACTCAGGATTGGAAATCCCTGCACAATGACTGGGGTCTTGGGCTCGTTTTGCCACTCTTGAACAGAGCAGGCAGTGCTATCCGTGTCGTCTATTTGCTCTTTCACAAGTTCAATAACCCAACTGTGTCTCTTTTCGGTTGGAGTAGTATAGCTATCGACATGCCGCATGAACGGCCTGACGTACGTTCCTAGGTTGGAGATTGCGGGTTGAAGAGCTGCCGTTAGCCAAGCCAATTGTTCCCCATATTCTGCTATGGAATAGGAAGTCCCAGTGACAAATGTCTCGAGGTAAGAGCCATTGAGAATAATCTCAATCACGCCGTTACCCTCCAGAGTACCTTTGATCGTGTGAGCATGTATGACAGTGCTTGTTGCTGCTTTGAAACTTACTAGAAGCTCTAGCCTGTCCCGCCCCGTTGATGACGCTTTGAAGAACGGACAACAATGTCCCTCCGCCGAGAGGCCAAGTCTGGTCCATATACTCACTCACTTTTAATAGTTGTATGCTGTCGTCCGACAAAGATGTTGCGACGATACGGTCAGCAATCGCCGTTTGTGAGTGGAACGATGACGGAAGGACCGCATCTTCCGGAAGGAATGGCACAAAGCTTTTGGGTATCCTGAATGAGACCGTGTGCTGAGTGGGGAGGCGCTTTGAGCTGATACGACCCGTCGGGAGTTGTGTTAGGATCTCTTGGCGTATCTGATCCATCGTCGTCTGTGGTTGAGCGTCGTCGCAGTGGAGTGTTGCCTCCTTGACAAGACTGGAAATCAGCCATTCGTACGCCGCACTGTTTACAATTCTCTGACTATACTCTGACAGTGCAGAAATGTCTTCCTTCTGATCCTCGACGTCCTCATCCTCGACGCCCTGAAGGTATTCACTGGGGTCCACTGCTACAGGACGTTGATTGTCATTCTTGTCCCACATGTTCATGATTTCGTCCAGGGGCATGGTGTCCATTTGTTTCTGGAGACTCGTTGGTTCGTTTACATCGCAATGGAACTCGTTTCGTAATTGCGACACTATGTATCTGTTGCTTCCGTCAGCCTCTTTCATGTGGTGTAAGCCTTGCGTCAAATGACCTACTGGTGGTGCTTGTGGACAAAGTGCATGACACGGAGGTTAATTTGGTCTGGCATGTCGGAGCCTAGCTTGATAGCAAATGCTTTGATGAGTTCAGGAAGTCTCTTTGATAATGACACCAAGGTTGGCCTGTCGACTAATCCGTCGAGTCTACTATTGATGTTATTGCAAACATCGACGACACAATTATCCGCGAGTTCTGGGAAAATTGCCGTGACTGCAGAATATGATGTGTTGGCGTCGTTTGCATCCATATCGCTTGTTGAATCTTTATGGATACAGTTTGCGTGATTGGGGTTCTCGGCATTTTCCTGATACATTGAGGGGTAAACCGGACCCCTAGCAGATGCGTATCCAGAGTCCGTGTATGGGATATCGTCATTTTTGTCCTCTTTTGAACCAAGTAGCCCCAGTTTCTCTGCAGTGTTTGCTTTGGTACCATGTACGTTCTCCTCTGATGTCAAACTCAAACGACGAGTGCTGCTGGGACTGAGACAACTGTCAACAGATTTCAATTCCCGATCGTAACTGGCATCATCCGATGGGATCGGGGCCGGGTCATTTGAGGGAAATCGCGCATCGCAGGCCACGGTTGGGGGGACCGCCTGAGTTGATGAGGGCTCAAAGATGGATAAGATGTCTAGGCCGAATGGGGAGAGATCTGAGTGGAATGGGGAGTGATCTGAGTGGAATGACGAGAAGTCTAGGTCGCATGAGAAGTCATTGAGCTTATCCTCCACGAAATGAACGCCAGATCTGCGCAAGTTTTCCGATAGTACTGATGGAGGTTCTTGAGGCAAGCACGCTTCGTTCTCTCTCAATCGCGCGGATTGCTGGGTTGCAGGATCTTCAAAATCTATGATTTTGAGAATCCTATTCGGTGGAGCATTCAGGAAAGGACTCACACGGGCTTGGTATATCACATTCTTTTACTTCAGGAAAGAGAATCCGATAGACATCTTTCCACTGATCCTCTCTTGAAACATTTCGAGATCTCTTTGAAAGAAGGCGCCTTTGGGCTTCGTTCACTCCTTCAATAGTACATGCTTGTTGACTTGGCACGCATAGAGTCGACGCTCGTTGGTGGGCCAAGAGACCCCCCAGGTTCGGGAATGTTATCCAGCATCTTGCGCAGTGCAGTGGCTGAAGGTGACATCGAGCGATATGTTGCCTGTGACTTTGTCAGAATACCCTCTGTTCAATGATATCTTGACTCACTTCACGCGAGCGATGTTGCGAAGCATTTGAACGTTGCGGCATATGGCATTTGCAGATCGAGTAGCATTATTCTTGTAGAATGGGCAAGCAAAGGTCTGCGCTTTGTGCTCATCCGAGTCCACGTGATCAAGTCGACTGCTCGGATTTCTCCTCGTCTGGGGTTGGGCCTCCATCTGGGGTTCGATCGAGCAGCAATATCAAAGTCTTGTTGATTCGAGTAGCACAATGAAGATTTCTATCACCAATATTGGGTCGTCGTCGTGACAATAGTTGACAGTCACGGATTCTTGAGGTTGGAGACTTTGGTTATCCTTTGGAAGCAGAGTTGATAGCAGACATGCAAATTTGTGCTGAAAAAGGCGACGGTGAGTAGGTCGCTGACCAGGATCTATTCCACGTCAGGAAAGCCCTATGATGGCGGCATTAGCCAAGTGCCCTACCTCAGCTCCACCTCTATTCACAGTGACTTTGCATAGTAAAACAGAACAGCCGTGAAAGAAATCGGCACCCGTCAGTAAGTCAAAATTGTAAATTTTGGTTTTCTCAGATCAACAAAGAGGTGCATTGATTCCATTTCGCAAAGTTTGCGAGGGCGAAATCGAGGATGGGGTAGGTGAGAATGGCTTACGCCCGACTGAGGTGGGACCTGAATAACACAAATGTGTTCATGGATATCATTGGCCAATGGCGCTTCACCATGCCTGTCGTAATGAATCCTTGCATGTAGCCAATCACATGGCACAACACAAGAGTGTTCTTGCAAAAATGAATCGAAACCGCGTAGTGTCAGTAAATACTAGCCACCATGTGTATTGACTTACCTGTGTGCAATACTCATGATGGCTTGCAAAGTGTGATGATGGAAAGTGTGTTTGTCAAGTCTACAGTAAAAGTATGCGAGCAAGTAAGGGTATACAGTATTATAAAATATTTAACATTTCCATAACTGGTGCCATGAGGTAGTCTTATTGTCCTTGTCCACTGTATTTGTTCAATTTTTGTACTAGCGACTCAACAGCATCGAGATACTACAAGGACGGTTCAGGCATCATGTCATCTTCAATGATTCTGAGCGACAGCAATGACAGAACCACGTGAGTCAAATCATCGGATTAAAGATAGCAGCAGTTGCGATATTAACTATATATCCAGACCACCAAAAACAAGCAAACACACGGAAAACCTCGACAGGTACCTGAAAAGTCCTCTAAACGTCGTTGAAAGGCTTTCTGTTCCCCCTTCCAGCCAATCAGAGGGCGGGATTTCAAAGGAAGATGAAAAGGAAAAAGAGACGAAACAGTTCTTAAGGGCATGGGACGAATCATGGAAACGATCAAAGAGCGATTCAAGCAACTAGTCAAAGTGGTCTTGCGGATATTTATGACTTTGGGATATGATGTGATGTATTGGTTGATGCTGGTACCTGCATAGCCTTGGATAGTTGAATGGATGCATGGGATACACGAAGCGGGTGGACTGGCGGGTACGCCCTAGGGTACTTCTAACAGGGTGATGGCAGGGCCAGAAGACGCACGCAATGAAGCTTTTTGGGGGCCATGGCGCTTCGAGCTATTGGTCCTGGTTATGTTGCAGGTTCTTTTCTTGGAAGACGGGCGTTATGCTGGGCCGCGGTCGAGCACCAACGTTTAGCCTGCATGGCGCTTGTCTAAATTTTATTTTTGAACGCTTGCTTTCTGTACGGTGCAACTTGAGATCCAGGATTGGTCGCCACAACTTGAAAAGTGCCTTTACCTATTGACTCGCACGACGTATTCGTATCAAGATAAGGTCAACAATGTCTCGCCAGAATATCACCTTTCATCTCGCCAAACGGCCAACAGCCTCCGTGGTTCCCGGTCAGACCTTTGAGCAAAGGTCAGAGCCAGCTCCGACAGCTGAGGATCTGAAGGATGGACAGGTGCTCGTCGAGGTCTTGTATCTATCGCTCGACCCATATATGCGAGGAATGCTGAATAGTACTTGATACTCTAATGTGAGCTCAACAAGGTCTTTGCTGATATCTTGGCAGGCACCAGGTCATACATTGCCCCCGTAGCGATTGGTCAAAAGAGTAAGTCATGAGCATTGTCGATGAGTTGATGTTCTAATTGCTTTTAGTGGTCGGCGGGGCAATCTCTCGTGTCCTGGCAAGCAAGTCGGCAAAGGCTGCACCTGGAGACGTTATATACGCACTCACTGGCTGGACCGAGGTCGCCATTGTTCCGGAGCAGATGGTGGAGGCTATCAAGCTACCTGAAGGTATCAAATTGACAGACATGTTGACAGTCGCATTCAGTTAGTATATCGCGTTCTTTGACAATGAAATGACAACTAATGAGCTCTCAGATGGGCCTGCCATGGCAGCGTATATTGGGCTTCAGAACAAAGCCAATGTTGAACCCGGTAATACCGTAGTTGTCTCTGCAGCCAGTGGTGCTACAGGACACATAGTCGGCCAGATTGCCAAGATTCAAAGTGCCCGCGTAGTCGGTATCACTGGCTCTGATGAAAAGTGCAGCTGGCTTTGCGACGAGCTCGGGTTTGATGTCGCGCTCAATTACAATTCGCCAGACTTTGTCGCGAAACTCGAAGAGGCAACTCCAGACATGATAGATGTGTATTGGGATAATGTCGGTGGATGGATCCTAGAGGTTGCCCTTGCCAGAGCTGCCAAATTTGCTCGGTATGTCATTTGCGGTGGCGCGGCCCAGTACAACCTCCCGGAGCCCGAGAGACTAGGAATCAAGAATATCATAGAGATTGGAAAACAACGCGTACGTATGGAAGGGTTTGTGGTCATGGACCACATGAAAGATATTCCAGAGGCGCGAGCTACTCTGCTACAGTGGATCACGGAAGGAAAACTCAAAACAAAGGAGACCATTGTCAAGGGTGGCATTACTGTAGCAGACGCTGCTTTTGAGAAATTGTTCACGGGCGACAAAATTGGCAAGCTATACGTCGAGGTCAAGGCTCCTTGATCGATTGATGCTCAAGTATGAGATTTGAAGTTGACCCGTGACTTGGTAGCAACAGGACTCGTACAGCCCATGGGCACTCCTAGCAGTACTTTCTTTCATGCAAATGCATGACCATGAGATTCTGGCATGATGAATATGATTCTCTCAACTCATCAGAGCTTTGCTTTGGACATTCTAGGTAGCTTTCGTGATATAAACAGGCCAGTCGTGAGGCAGCATAGCAAACCTGGCTTTCCAATGCCACTGCTGCTTTGGATCTACCTGCCGTATATCATAATCACGTACAATTGTAGCTGCAATTTTTGACAACTCTAGTCGGGCTATATTTTGACCGGGACAGGACGCGTAGCCTTGACCCCACTGGAGATGACACGTTAGAGTTAGCATTAAAGGCTGGCTGGAAAACTTACAGGCATGAATTGCTTTTCCAAAGCAGCGCCATTCGGCTCAAGCCATCGGTCGGGTCTAAATTCAGCAGCGTCTTTACCCCATATTTCCGTCGAAAAGTGAATGACCCAAGAGTTGACAGAGACGAGCGTGCCTGGAGCAAACGTCTTGTCTCCAATGGTCAAACCGTCTGCCGGGACCGTCCTTGCCAGAGCCATTGGTGTTGGGCTAAATACACGCATGGCTTCCTTGATGGAAGCCTGAAGGTATGGCAGTTTCTGTGCATCGGCAAAGGATATTACAGGGTCTTTACACCTTCCTTGCTGTTGTGCTGCACGCTGAATCCCTGTTAGTTGCCAATTTTCATCATCGGAATAGTAGACTCACAATCTCGTCACGTATCCGCTGCCAATGATTTCCCTCGGGGTTGCGAATTATGTGATAGACGAAACTTTGCAGAGCAGTCGAGACAGTATCCGAACCCGCACCCACGGCCTGAAAGGTATGGGCTTCAATGTTTCGCATTGATAGGCGCTCCGGATGCTCTTCGTGAACCTTGAACCAGTGCGCAATCAAATCATATCGCGCATCTGGATTCTTGCGGCGCTCGTCGATTGTGCTAAAAGTCATGTCATAGAGAAGTCCATAAGGCATTAATTTTGTCCACGTTACGGCTGGGTTCGCCAAGAGATAGTGCCTGTAATTATCAGTCAGTCACTTGCTCCGGCATGAAAAGCTCGACGTCAAGATGTACATATTAAACTTACAATCGAGGAAAGAAGCCCGCAATAGCACCGTATACGTTTAGAGTTGCAATATTGTGAATGGTATTTCCAACATCCGTCCCAGAAGCGAGGAATCCAAACTGCTTGGAAAAGGCAATTTCTCCCATAATGTCAAATGATGTATACGTAAAGAACCAGTCCTTGTGGTACATGTCAGTACGTGCTGATTTACACAACAGAATGCTCTTACCAAGTCCATGGGTTCCTCGCTTTTGACGTGCTTGTCAATCCATTCGCATAATCTGGCTATGACTTCGTCCATGATGGCCTCGGATTGCAATAGATTACTGTTGGAATAGGCTGGGGCAAAGTTCTTGGACAATTCATTCTTCTTTTTGGGGTCCAACACCGACATGGGATTCACCCAACGCCAATCGGGAAATTGCATCACCTCGTACCACGGTGCCTGCATGTGGTCAGTCGCTGGTCCAGTCTCGGTATGGTGCTATCTCACCTTGGGTAAAGGAGCCAGTAGAATCTTTTTTATGGCGTCTGGATGACTGACACTGACTTCATTATATGATACGCGAACAAAGTGGCCTTGAAAAGCGTGTGATTAGGTACAGTTCCGCCTATTTACGCATTCATTCTCTTACCAAGTTCTTTGTGCAATTTGACCAATTGAAGGTTTTGGTCGCCAATTATTATGTGCCGTACGTGCCAGAGTCGCGTAAATGCTGCAAAGAATGGCCCAGGTATATCGTCAAGCATTGAATACCGGCGTCGCAATACCACGAAACAAATGGTGACTAGAAACAGCGACACCGTGGGGACCCAACCCCCGGAGAATGAAAGCACGCCACTAAACAAAGTCATGGTGCTGAATTGCAAGTACAATGAGAAGCTGTATCTTTGTGACAAGACGCAAAAGAATGGAAAGAAGAGGAGACGTTTCTCGCCACTCATTAAATTCTCCATCGGCTACTCATACCGGCCATCTGTATGCTCGGCATGCAGTCTTCGTGTGTTCTCTTGGGCGTGGAGATTCACGACAGTTGGGGTGAGTGGAGGTCGCCGGCCATTTGTCTAATAGCGGACTGGACGCTGCAGCATCTGGTGCCGGGGCCCAAACCCCTGCTCCCGTGCCCAGCGTGTGTATTGCGCCCTAACTGGAATTGCATAGCTGCCGCAGACAACACCCAAGAGATGGAAAGACATTGACTTATCAAAAGACAGGGCCGCTTGATGACGGGTGAAAACTCCAGAAAAGAGCCTACGCAACGCGGATAGTGAACAACCTCAAGCGCGTCAAGACTTGAGAGCTACTGATTTCAGAGACTGCATGCCGAAAGAGGACAGCTTCAATGGGGGAAGCTCTTTTGGTTGGACCTGTTTGGTTTTCAACTTCAGACGCGCGAGGCACGGCCAGTGCTTGAAAGGACTCAATGCTTGGTTCCAGACTTGAGTTGGGGTGCGCACTGTCAACTTGTCTGTACATGACCTTGCGATAGATCCATATTTCCGGGAGATCTTGTTGTCGTCTGTTGCTTCTGAATCCACTTCTTGACATCCGCTGCGGTTTCATCTCCCGTCGCCATCCTTTGGGTATGGTTGATTATCACCAATATCGGCTGCCCGAGCTACTTGGTCACCGAGCCGAACGAGCTTGATATAGGGTACATGGCCTGGCGATCGATGGTGTGGAGCGAGGCAGTCTTGGGATGCGGCTATCCTGGCAAGTTTTATACTTGCCATAGCCTTTATCTCACCTGAGCCGATGTGTGAAGGGGGAACTGAAGACGAGATGATCGAGGAAGCATTGAAAGTTGTCTGAGTTGATCTCTAGTCTACAGAAGAGAGGTGCTGAAGAGCGACTATATACCCACGCAGGTGATCTGCGGTGGGTGCTGACTACATCAGTACGACACTTTACAACGATGGCGAACCTATGATCTACGCGGGGACCCTGACAGTAACTTTGGGCTGTCGCATCAAGAGTTTGTAGGATCAGTTCCCTTACATTAGGTAATACCAAGAGGAAGGATGAACGACGACAACGTCTACAAGAGTAAGTAGACTGATTGCAAAGTCACGCCCAGCTAAAGTCCGGCACACAGCTTTGAGTCCGTTCAAGCACCGGTCTTGCTTCGCGTGCCAGAATTTTCACCGATTCATCGAGTGAAATGAGTCTGACTTTTATCTTCCTTTCGGTATGTTCGACAAACTCGGATGATCCATACTGGACAGAGTTCCCGCAACAAGCTATCATAAAGAGAACGAGGTTGACCCGTGTTACGGCCCTGCGAAAATTAGCACGGATCCAAACAGGGGAAGAAAGAAGTAGGTCATGAAGGACGAGCAACATGTCAATCAGTTGCCGCAAGCCATGTTCCGACGAAATTGAGAAGGGAATGATGATGCCGATCACAGATCTGATCATTGCTGGGAGTCTGCTTCTAGCGGTACCATCCCACTCCTTCATTCCACCACCGAGGACAACCCGTTGACCGCAAAGCCCTTGTTCGCAGCCTCGTCGCCATTCATTCCCCGGCTTAATTGACATCCAGGCCGATTATTCAACCATGATTAACGGACCTTCCAGTGACACAAGGTGTTACTATGGCGATCACCACGAGCGACTGCTCATCAGCGCCAGTCTGTTTCCCCAACAGATCGCTTCCATGGCGAGAGGGAGATACTCACTGGACACTTCCAAAAAGAACAATTTCAACAGCAACAAGGTGTGGTATCAAGAATGCTCAAGAAGAGAAAATTTGGTTGCCAGCTGCCAGCGTTATTGTTTTTACCCCTCGTCAAGCACTAGGTTCGCGCCTGCCAACAGATACAGAACAGGTCAACTTCATGGACACCCCAGTGACTAGCGCCGTTAGAAATCGAACCCAACACCCCATATCCACCCTTTCGGTATTCCGTTCACCATCCGAGGCAGGCATTAATTGGCACGCTACACGTGCGATTTTCACGAATTGCCACCAACTTTCCTCTCAGCATCACTCCAAAGCCACAGAACAAGATGGCGAACCCAACGGCATTTCAAACGGGAGCACTTCCTCCCCTACGTACCAACTGGGACCAAGTCTCGGAATGGCTCAAAGCCGGCGACAACCTGTTGGAAGACTTGCACAAACGCCTGGATGAAGCTCCCGATGCCCTTGGCAGTGGCAATATGCCCGATTTCGACACAGACAACGACAGTGACAAGGTAGCCGACCTGGCACTGAAAATCGAAAACATGGGCAAGAAGCTGAGAGAGCTTCAAAAGGAGTCCAATGAGCATGTCGAAAATATCGATGCGCCCCGGCAAAGCCTCAGGCAAGTCATGGACAAAGTACCTAACTTTATCTCACAAAATGTTGGCCTCAATTCCGCGGCTACTCAAGACCTCTTGACACACTTCCTGGAAGCTTTCAAAACCCTGGACCCCATTCGCGAGCTGTCCCCTAGTCACAAGACTGCTCTCTTCAATGCCGAGGTACAACTGTTGCAGGAAAAGCTGTCAATGTTGAAAACTCAAACAACGGCCAGGCCCGACGACCTGGAAGAATGTCAACACACCAGTCAGGAGTCGCAAAGAAGTCTCATCAAACTACGAGAAGAGTTGAAAGTCAAGCAAGACAAGATCAGGTCGCTAGAACAAGACCTAGAGCAGTCCAATTCAACAGTAGATGATACCAAGGCCCGTTGCGACAAGAAAATCCAGCTACTCAAGGACTCGAACAAAAAGAATGAAGAAGACATGCAAACATGGTTCAACGAGAAGACGGCCGAGGTCGAGAAGTGGAGTCTAGCCATCCAAGACTACGAAAAGGAGAAAAAGGACAATGTACAAAAGATCAAGGACCTGGAGACCGAAGTTGCCATGAAACAACAGACCCTAGACCGTCTGTCACAGAAGACCTCTCAGGCTGGACATGTACATGGTGTTGACGTGGAGGTCCTGCAGAGTGAAAAGGCTACTCTAGAGGATGAGCTGTACTCACTCCGCCTACAAAACAAGGCAAGTGAGCAAGAAGCCGAGATGCTTGGCTCACAAATTCAGACGTTGGAGCAAGAGAAGATGGTGGCCATACAAGCCCATCAAAATGTCAATCGGTTACTGCAGAAAGAAGTAGAGGACCGCAAGTCATGGACTGATGAGATTGGGTTGCTAAAGCTGCAACTCGAAGATGAAAAAACAGCGCACTCGGAAGCCAGAGATGGAGAGATCCAGGCGCTCGACGCGTTCAACCAGGGGCTCGAAGCACGTCAAGAGTTGGAGAATGCCAAGAAGCTTGAAGAGGTCCAAAAGGTACACGCCCAAAGAGACCTTGATGTACTGCGCTCTGAAATAGAGTCTTTGAGGAAGAGTCATGGCCAGCTTCTCGAAGAAAAGAATAAATCCCAGGAAGATTTGGTCAACATGACAAGACAGAGAGACGAAATTGTCACGGAACGAGATGGTTTTGAAAAGGACCTCGAGAATATGACTCGGCAGTATGAAGAGGCAAATGAACAATCAAAGAGATATAGCAATCTCTACAGGAACGTCTCAAAAGAAAAAGAACATCTTGAGGGTTAGCATACGGAAAAGGCTGGCACAACTACATAATTTGCAAGATGACCTAGGGTTACGACCGTACCATAGAGATGAAGATACATTTCATGATTCTCTCACACAGAAACTAAACCAAGAAACTTCTATGCAGGAGAAAGAGGATGCTCTCCGCGAAAAGACTGCTGCTTTTACAGCAAGGGATGATTCTCTTCGCGGAAAGACTGATGCTCAAAAAAGGCATGATGAAGTTTTCGATCGCGTCATGGATGCGGAAGGTGAAGCCACTGAGCTAACATCTAGTCTGGATGAATCCGAAAGAAAAGTCCAAGACCTTGCAAGTCAACTTGAGAACTGCAATATTGCAAATCAGACACTCAGAGATGAGTTGGACGAGTCGACCAGAGTAAATGATTTGGCCCAAGCAGATTTAGAGGCCATGGACCAAGAATATGCTGCTCAAGATATGGCGCACGACTCCATGTTGGAGCATATTGGAGAGTTGGAGACAAAAGTGATCGATTTGCAGCGACAGACTGAGCAAAGATGTTTTGGCTATCAGAGATACTTTGCAGACATGGCCAGAGTGCAAGGTCTGCAAATCGAATTCTGGACTGTCTTTATGGGTGCCATAGAGTCCCATCCTTTTCAAATTCCTATCCGCCAGTTGCCGGATCCTTACTTTTGGGCAGTAGTAGAGCCTTGGTCAGACTTGAACCAGCAGTCTGGGAACAACCCGGCAAAGTCTAGGGCTGGGCTAATGGATCTGCTCACCCAACTCTACTATCATATCACAAACAAGGACCCCGAAGCTGAAATGTGGCACTTGCTGCGGCTCATTTCCGAGGAATGCGTCAAAAATGACGCTCCAGGTCTGTTTGTTGGGGTTATTCCACTCATATTTGAGGCAGCCAAAAAGCGGTATTTGGAAGCCCAGGAAGCCCAAGGCATAAATCTGCCAAACCAGGTTGACCCGATCAAGAAGAGTCTTATTGAGCAAATGTTCCTCATTGGATTACTCCAAATTGGCCGATTCATGCAAAGACGTTGGCCATCTGTTGCTCCTGATCGCATCAACAAGATCCAGGAGTACTTGGAAAATCAAGATCTGTGGGAGCCTTTATGCAAGCACCTGTTATCGGATAATGTCAGTCATTTCACTGATGAAGCCGACAGAGACACCATATGGTACAAGGACTTGAACGTATGCCTTGTGGGAAGTGAGCACTTTATATTTGTCATTGGCACCACAACACGTACGGTCCGGTTGGTAGATAAGCAACAAGCCAAATTTGCCATTAATACGGCGCGGTTAGAAGCACCAGAAGAGCATGGAAATATGGACTTTCCCATGTCACCAGCTAATTTCATGTGGTGGACAAAATTTGCTAGTTTCCAGGCGTAGAATTTGTACCTAATTAAAATATATCGATTCCCCTCATACGTGTCTTTTTGTCACTGTTGCATCATGAACTCTAGAGTAAGCCCTCATTGTCATTTCACTGCGCCAACAGTACACTCGTACTGATCACCATGATCCGTCTGCGGATGAGCTTGGAGCTGGGTGGTCAATTAACAGGAGAATAGTCTACATTGTCCATATCTGAAACAATACATGTTTATCACCGCGAAATTCAGTTCTTTATAGACGAGTCTATCAATTTACACCTCGAGTCCTTTCCTGTCAATGAGCTCGAGAATTATAAATCGATTGTACTCCAAGATTGGCACAAGGACATTCCCTCTATCCAGTCAAACCCTTCATGGGATCGGCTGCAACCGTGAGGATAAGCATGAACTAAAGGTTAAAAGGGATAATTAATTGGCTGATCGAGGCCTTCAAGGGCAGTAAGCTCATTTCTTTTCCGTCTTACAATACAGACCTTTTACGTGACGTTTATTTTTGGCGAGTTTCCGTTGATTCCCGGTGCATTTCAATGTTTCGATTCATTCTAATCCAGCATTAAGACAACTACAGTGTTCCGGACCAAGGTTGGAGCTTTATGGAGAGCAAATTCAAATGAAAAAGTTTTTATTTACTATTTAAATCACATTCGTGTCAGTCATCTCTCGTTTGGAGGGGTTTCCATGGTAGCATCATTGTCGGATTCTGATGAATCGCCTGGCGACGACAAGATGGCATACGGATCGAATGGGTCTTGAACCCTCTCCGCCGCATTCTCCCATGAAATGGGCAACGGAACGTCGGACAACCTCGCCTCGTCTGGAATATCGAGAGGATGTGTAGCATCTACATAAGCAAGATGAGGGGGTATACTTGATGCAGTGGGCTCCTCTTGAGCATCAATATTGTCACCTTCTGGTGCATCGTGCTCCATCTCCTGACTTGGTATGGCAATATTTGAAGAGGTAATCAGGAGGGGCAATGCCTCGCTGTGACTGGACATGGTGTTTGAGCTACGAGGCGCCTCTCTTGAGAGTTCGTGTGAAGAAACATGGGGGATACTTGGCCTGCTGCTTTGCTCAGGAACCGTGTTACCCATTGGCTCATCCTGCTGTGATGTAGGTGCCGTATTGCCCATTGGCTCATCCTGTTGTAATGTAGGAAGCTGTGAAGCCAATCCTGGCTCAGGCATGGCAAGTCCTGGTGTGGGGTGAGGCCCATCAGCTTGTGCTGGATCGGGCATGGCAAGTCCTACTGTGGTACGAGGCCCGTCGGCTTGTCTCGTCTTCATTTGAGCAGGGGAACCGGGGCGAGATTCTGGAATTTCGGAATCTGCCATTTCTTGGTCTGGATCAGCATCCAAAGGAATATCGGAAAGGAGTGCGGGACTTGGGGTCTTTTCGGCTTTGGCTGCGTGCTGCCGGACAGAGAGTAGCGCTCTTTCGCGCGCACCTTTTTGGTCTGCGTTGGTAGGATGATCATTGTTTCAGGATGCAGCTGCAGCCTTGGAGATCAACTGGGCTTTTCTGTATACTGGTAGGCCGTTGCGATCTCTTTGGTTGTCTAGTGCCTTGATTAGCTTTTCGAGATCGCTTGTACCTACAGAATACAAACCAATGTCATTTTGTGACACGGGTGGTGTTGTCTTGGGAGCCACCTGTTCCCTGAAACACAGTGCCTCGATTTCCTCAAAGAGTCTGGACCACGGCGACTGAATTTCACCGAGCTTATGTCGGACTTGAATGTGAATGTCCTTGACGGATGCTTGGCCGGTATTCAAGCATTCCGTGACGTCTGCGAATATGTCAAAAAACTTGTCTGTAGTATAGTTTTCGCGTGGCCATCTCATGGCACGTTGGTCGTTTGTACGACACTTGACTACATATTGTAGACAAACCGCTGCAGCACCGGGCTGGTTTTGCCACATGTCATGGCTCAGCAGAGGAAGTAGGGCTTCACAAAAGGGAGCCGACCAATATGGATGTTTGACGGATATGCCATCGACCACAACCACGGTTGCATGACTGCTTGAGTCGTAGACCAAATTGAAGCGTGGTCCAATGATATCCTCAACAAAGGTCCCGTAGAAGCGAACGCTGTATCGCCATGATGCACCAAGTTTGGTATGCTTGGCTTCCAGCAAATGTGTCTTCATGGGATCATTATCCCAGTCATCTCTGGACTTTTGCTCATCCTCTAGAGTCCAGTTGTCGTCAATGGGCGGACCTCTGACCAGTCGGTCAATGTCAGACTTTGTCATTTCAGGGTACTTTTGCTTGACCATTTGGCGAGCTTCGTTCAATACCGCGAGCAGGTTCTCGGGTGTGGCAGCTGCGTCGTCATTGCGCGCAGTGTCCAGAGGCTTGTGGATAACAGGACCTCTGGGAGGGGCGTTGGCAGGCGCACTGGCAGGAGCACTGGCAGGAGCACTGGCAGGAGCACTGGCAGGTGCACTGGCAGGCGCAGAAGAATCGTCGGATGCCGCAGCAGATGTACTGCGACGCTTTTTGGCAGGCATGATGAATGATGCTGATTTGGTGTAGATGAGCTGATGAGCTTGAATCTTGATGGATTGAAAAGTCAAGGTTTGGACCCAGGCCCTGGATCGTTGGGTAACTGGACTGGCGGCATAAGCTTGGTTCTGGCTGGTTTCCCCACCACTAGCGTCCTTTGGGCCCCGGGGCGACTGGCCCTGGCACTAGATACCAGAAGTAGATCTAATCTAGTGGCTATTCATCGACCCCGTCATTTTATTCTTGTCCTTGTCCAATCCACGTCTTCCAATGTCGCATTACAAGCCCTGAATTAGCTACGTGAAACAATTCCACACTGCTTGGAAGTACTGGATAAAGGATGGATAGACCTGGTCGAGTCTTTAAAGAGGATATGTGAACACTGAAGCGATCAGGACTTCATCATGTAAATGCAATCTATATGTACTCTATCAAGTTCACTCGGCCCAGTGACGGTTACCCTACATGAGTGACATTGATTGTCCGAGGATGGGATGTCAAGTGCTAAAAGTAGACCAGCTACCTTGATATAGCCAGCCTTGTTGCGTTAGCGATCGACCGCCTATAAATAGGGGCTCCCGTTAATTCTAGTAGGTCAGAGTTCAGTTTCGTCATAATCCACCCCTAACTGCCCTCTGCCTTCAACCCTTCACTACATTGCGAAAAAAGCCCTGACGTGGGCGTATGCAACGGTCACGGTCATGGATGGAGATCAAAGTTGTACTACTAGAGCTTGTGCTCCTTTTGAATTAACTGTATGCTAGTCTATTTTGCATTGTTGCGGTACTAATCTACACCCTTTTGAGGGATTGTATACAAGGTTCTCGTCAATGCCGCGAGCTTCTCTCCCGTTTCATTTTCAATACGATCCAGGACGGCTGGTGGAATTAAATTAAGATCCATAGTAACGAGGGCAACCAGACCATTTGGAGTCTTTGGTGGAGTTACTGACACCAAGTAGAATGCAGCATATCCAGGCACTGATGGGTTCTCCAACAGCATGTAGTTTCGCTTTGCCCTGTCTACAGGAATGAAAAAGTGACGTGTAATATCAGCAGGCTGCCTCGAGGTTATATCAAAGGCCCTCACGTTAGGATGATTGATTGGTTTGGGCATAAAGACGGTCTGATGTAGATAGGACCATGCCAGGATTTCGTAAGCCTCGAGCCGATCCGCGGGCGTTGCGAATGAAGTTGGAAGCGTCTTGTCGACCGGCTCTGGGAGAAGTCGGGTCTCCAGATGCGCAATCATTTTGGTAATCCTGTGAACCACTCTCATGTCCAGGTCAATGCAGTCATCTGCGACTGGCATGTAACGATTGTGCTGATTTAAGGATATCTTGTCCTGCACCACCAGGTTTTCGTACAGCCCAAGGGCAAGCCAGATGGAACCATTGTAGTATTCCTGTGCACCAACTCCCGCACAGTCGGCCTGGACCTTGGACAGTATGGCAGAGGTATTCTCGCCCTTGTCCCACTGCAAGGCTTCCTTGATGCTCAACGAAAAAAGCTTGCGAGGTTTGTAGTAACAAATGACTACCAGTCTAATCATGATGCGCAAGAGTGTCTGCCGTGTGCCAGGTGTCGGCACCGAGCCAGGGCATGGGCTATGCAAACGTCTGGAGACCACTTGTCCACCAGCATCAGCTCGTTGGCCATTGCCATACCAATTTCGGTGGGATGGAAGCCCGTGGCAATATCTCCTTCCACAGCTCTCATAGCCACAAGGCGCCGCCTCGCCTCTCGCAGAGACCCCCGTGGAATTTCATCCAAAACCGGTAGAGGCATCAACATGGACGCGCCGTCTGACCAAAATCGATACGACAGGATAATGAGTTCTTGAATCCAGGCAGCGTCCTGTGCAGGACATGGGTCCACACTATCGAGCCACTCACGGTCTCGTGCAAGCTGCAAGTTTGACTCTTCCTGGCCTTGCAGTATGGAGGCCTGTCTCTCCAGCTCCAGTCGTGACAATCCCACACGGGCGTAAGGATATTGACTCGTCGGGTGGTGAAATGGATATGCTTCTCGAGAGCCAGAAGAGAGTGCAATCCCAAGATTCTTGATCGGGGGGAGAGTGTACCTCCCACTTGGATCGATACAGACGAGCTTTGGCTCTTGGGAATTTGCCATTTTGTACACGTCACTTTTCCGCGAGGTCTTGTCAATGTAGTACACTGTGGAGGGCTCGGCCAGGATCATTACAACTGGGTCAATGACTGCGATTCGGGCGTCATCGTGAGTCATGAAGAGAGCAACGGAGGGCTGGGGTTTTTCCGGTGGCGTCTGCTTGAAATTCTGGATTAGCATGCTTTGTAGCCACTCGGAATCAACATCTCTGACGGGACGGGGACTTATCCGCCCACGAAAAGGCTCGCGATATGTGATCATATCCATCTTGATCTTTAATTGAGAGGTACTCAACATGTCGGGGTACACCTGGCCGAATATGCGACCCCAACAAGACGAGGCTGATTGGCGTCGCCCGGTTGGCGAATCGTAGGTCACGCAGCGTCTGAATCACCTGGCCCAAAAGGCACTCTCCCAGAGCTGTGGACACTGGCTCAAGGTCCATGAAAATGGCGAGGCACGGGTTGAGGATGGGCGGCTGTGTGGATTTCTGTTGCTGAAGCATTGTACTCAGGGTCCCATGCCCACACAAGAACATTTCATCCGAACCATTACGAACATGGTTTTGGTCCCAAAGATGGATATCATGTCGATCTCTTGTCTTTTTGACTGAGATTGAAGTCTTCATGACTTGACTTTTTTGGTAGTAGGTATGCAGCAGTTTTGCTTCTGTGGATGTTTGCACTGCGTAAATGCCAGTGATGTTGGGAGACCGACTCGATAACTGTTGCCAGATCTTGGGAACCAGTTTTGTGCTTTTGCCAGAGGCCGGTGGCGCCTCGATAAACAGGACTTTGGTTGCAGCACCGTCCGGGTGCCAGGTCAGGGCCTCAAGGACCTCTTCTGTTGATGCATCCATCTTACTGCTTGAAGGATTTTCGTGAATGAAGAGTTGAGAGGTAGTGTGCCGAGATGTTGAGATGATGAAGGATTGGTGGGCATGGAGAGCTTGTGGTCAGTCTGCACTTCAAGTACCGCGTTTGTTGCGAGGGGGGGGGGGGGGTATCAAGCAGTAAGCTCCAGGCCCCATGGCATCACGCGTCAATAGTATTAATAAATTTAATTATAAATAAATTAGCTGGATAATCGGCTTAATGGATTTTATTAATTAAGGATCTAATCTAAGTCAACGGTTTACCGTGACATTACCTTGTTATGCTTGATGATCTCAGGGCTAGGGAAATGGTACAAGGCAGTATGGACCTTAAATGCTTGTGAGACTTATAAGGAACAAATGTCAAATCTTCTGGCTGCAGGTTTCCATCGTCTCCGTCATGTATGGATGTATATATGGCAGAAAAGGGGGCCCGTTGGCCGTTATTAGTCTCTTGTTGCGCTCCGATCGATTCGCCATCGATTATGCGAGCAGTAGGCAACATGACGGTCACCTTTCGACTAGAGATAAGATCAATAGAGTCAAGTTCGTTGCTGCCTGATCTCAAGGGTCTGAATAGTACCTGTTGGTGCATGTAAGACTGCAGGAGAATGTTGTTGACTTGTTCCAGTCCAAGGGCGTCCGCGGTGGTTTCTGAAATCTCCTGGTCAGGGGAGAGAAGTGCATATTCGACCACACCCTCTAGCTGTTTGGCACGTTCCAAGACTTTCTTGCATGTAGCAAGATGCAAAGTGACTGCAGTATTGGCCACTTTGATTGTGCCATCCTTGCCATGGTTCCCAAGGATCTCGAATCCTTTGGTTTCGACGACTTGTTTTTGCCACAAACCAAGTGCGGCCCAGAGTGATCCGTAGCATACCATAGTTTGGCCGATTCCAGACGAAGCTGCTGCAATGTCCAGTTGGAAGATGAGACTATTTCGAAATCCCAGGGATTTGAGACCAGACTTGCTGCTTTGCTCCTCATCAATGTTCATGAGCTTCGCAATGCCACAGCTAATAATTGCTGCTAGACGAATGAGTAGACGGACAGCCTTGGTAGACAGAGTTTGTCTCATTTCGTAAATGTGTGATATCAGACAGGCAAGCTGAACACTACGCGGTTCATTAAGAGGCGTGTAGAGCAAGTCGTTAAAATAACGCAAGCTAGGTGGAACCTGCCAAGCACCGCTGGGATCCTGCTTGACCACTGACATGATTTCAATGCGCCTTGACATTTCGTTGAGATGAACTGGGTTAGTGTAGGGAAGGCAGGGAATCGGGATCGACTTCCACTCGGTAGACCCCCAATGGTAGACAAGACTGTAGGCGAGGTACATGAGGTCGCCTTCGAGAGGGTTCTCTGGCCTCGTCAGAGGCATCGCGTCACCATCTGCTGTCAATAGCTTGACACTTGAAAGGTTGGAGGCTGCTGCCCAGGCCTTCTCCCAGCTTAGTTCATTCTTGCTCAGCCGGACAGCGGACGAGACAAACTGGCTGGAGTGTTCTTCATAGATGCGAATGATCTTGCGACCCAAGGAGATGACATGAGTGGCGTTGACTGACAAGACTGATTGAAATGAGGGATCGACGCGAATAATCTGCGGGTGCTGCGCCAATGTAATCTTTTGTACATCTCCTTCGCTCGACTTGGCAGTCAGGTGATGTATGGGTATAGGGATGGGAGGTTGCTGCTCGTCGCCAATCATTTCAGACAAGGGCTGACCAAGCAGTGTGTTGGCTTCAACCTCGGAGACGAATACAACAATGCATGGTGGTGGAAGGTGCAAGTCCTCCGGAGACTGCAAGAAGTCCTTGAAATCGTCGACAAGTATCTGCAAGATCCCAGGGGCTTGGTCATCTCTCTTGTCACGGATGGAGACTACCTGTCTTGGCAGTTGAGGATCTGGAACTGAAAGAACAAGTGGCGCAACCTCTGTACCAAGAAAGCTATGAAGTGTCTTATACACATCACTCGCCTCGTGGCCTGCCAAGGTCACCAGGGTGATATTGTGACCTTGCTGAGCCGCCCGAGGTGCGACTTGGGAGAGCCAGGTCACCAAGAGACCGAGCGTGACTTGGACACGAATACTGGGGACCTTTTCCAGATCAATGAAAATAGTGAGCGGACCAAGGGGGGGTTCCGAGGTGCGTTGTTGGATTTTGTCGGCAAGAATTCCTTCCAAGCTCTTGTAAATAGTAAGGGTAAGCGTATTGGCCGGTGGGCCACTGGCAGTCGTGTATAGATCTGCTTTGCCTAGGACATTTCCAAATGTAACGTTTGTTGTCTGAAGGTGCCTGTGAAGGCTGTATGCTTGGTATTCAGTTGCTTGGACATATGTCCCGCGCGAGTTCGGCCACATGGATATGATGCGTGTCCAGATTTCTGGCACCATTTGGGTACTTTTGCCAGTTGAATAAGGAGAGACAATGTGAATTGCCCGGACGCCAGACGCCTGATTCTTTCTCAGGGCTGTGACGATGCCGGGAATCACATGGGACGCGAGGTTGTCTGCGAACTGGACAAGATGCTTGTTTTGTGCGCTGGGCACGGCTTGGTCAGCCGTATAGGCTGGGTTTGGTCGTGGTTGCGGTCGTGATGGATCCATGGTGAGCTGATCAGCCTAGAAGAGAGGCTCAGTTCTTGTCTCGATGAATGAGAAAGATGGAAAGCTTGGAGGTGTCCATGTAGAAATCAACCGGTAGTAGTGGGTGCAGTTCAACGTCTTGCAAACGGAGGATGGATTGTTCTGCACCTTTCAAACGAGAATGGATTGTTCTACGTCATTCAAACGGAGAATGGATTGTTCTAACCTGCAGGCCGCCAATGTCGCCCACCACTTTTTTTTATTTGCCTTGCTGGACCGCCAACTTGACCCCTCTTCATTGTCCAGCTTCAAGGACAAACGACTTGTCATTGTAGTTGACCCTCATCTTCACCGGCATCATCACAAGCGCTGCAAGATGGAGTCAGACAACGACTTGCGAAACCACCCGGACGCCTTTTTGGCAAATCATCAACTGCAAAACGTTTGGCCAGGCTGCAGCGATCAGACCAACGATTGGCCTGCCTTGAACTGCCTGCTGGTTCTTCTCCGACATCTTGCAAAGTTTGTACCAGAAAACTATCGATCCAATGATCTTGCTCGACGCAATGAAGAGCTCAACCCCATCTTGAAGCTTGCATGGCAAAAAGTTACCAATCCTCCGAAAGCTAGCGAGCTTCAACTGAGATCAAAGATTGCCGAGATCTTTGGAAAGAGCCAAGGCCACACGCCTCGCTTCCAGGAGCTCTTGGAGAGCGACTTGATGATGGATACACTCTTCTCGGACCCGAACTTTGGCTTGTATCACCCAAAGACGTGGACATGCAGTCCCAACGCTGGTTCGAGACAGTGGACGGTCGATCACATCCTTTCGGCATTGGACGTTGCCAAGAAATCCATCATTCGGTGGAATGGTCAAGAGCCTTTGGCCGACAGAATCATGGGCCTCTTTCCCATCTTTGATCATTCAGACGATGCCAGAAGTCACGGCGAAAGAGTCATTAGGCACATGTGTGCCAAACCAAACTTTCTATTTGTCCATTACACAAATGATGGCACAGAATGGCACAACTTTTCATCGCTAGAGAGACTTTCTTTTGACGTCTCTGAATGGTCAGTTAATCCTGTTGACCATCGATTCCGACTTGGGCGCACCAATGTCCAGTATGCCTTGGTTGGAGTTGTATACATGCACCCGACAGCAAGCATGGACAGCGTCCGACTCTACCGTCTCGACGGTAGTCATGTCCAACACCCGGAAAGCGCGGTGATGGCCAATATCACACATGATGAATGGGAACTCGAAGGCCCCGGTACTTTTGTCTTGATTTACAAGAAGATCAGTGTCCCTGCCCATGGGGGCGAAGAGATTACTCCAGCCAGAGAAACCAATCACGAGATGAATGGTTTGACGAATACATCAGACGTGAACCTTAGGATTCCAACCTCTGGATTCAATGCTGCGTCATCTCCCGCCGCTGCAAGCATGTCAAGCATCGAAAGAGGTGCCTCTTTGGCAGAAGAATCAACTCCCCGGCCTCTTCAAAGACAAAGCCAAGGGCAATCTTTATTGAAACGAGAATCAGTGGAATCTTTGGACATCGTGGGAGGCTTTCGACCAAAGAAGCCAAAGATTGAACCCGGCCTTCTTCTCCCACTCGGACCATCCACGCCACAAAATGCGCAATTTTCCCCAAAAGACCCCTCGAGCTCAAACAACCGTCCCTTGCATGCGGTAGCGCAATCCGATTCTGATCTCGAGATGCCGATATTTGACGCACTGGGACGTCCAATGTCTAGCAGAGCTCCCACGACAGGCCGCTATTTCCTTCCGGCAGAGCACTTGAACTCACATCTCGAGATGCCGATATTTGACGCACTGGGTCGCCCAATGTCCAACAGAACTCCCACAACCAGCCACCCGACGAGACAGGAGCTTGACCCAGAACGCGGTCGTGGCCAGCGCAGTCGCTCAGGCCGCGGAGCCGGTCGCGGTTCAAGGAATTCTTCTGTTGGAAGACGTGGTCGTTTCTTCTAGTTTTACTGGCAAGTCGAGCTACATACGTAGCTGATTGGCATATTGAGCTCTCTCGGGGTTTCCATATCCTTTTCGGCGTGCAAGGTGAGTGAGATGACTGCAACAGCAAGCATCATTCTCACGCATCCATTGCCAATAAACTAGTGCAAATGCTCTAGCACTTCAGGAGACGCTAGAATGAATAGCATTTTGTAGTCGCCTTTACATGAATAACAAATGTTGACCAACTTTGTAATTGTCCTGCGCATGATTGTGATTGTCGTGATATGAATGCAAGACACTTGCACATTCAACAGCACTGCACCCGCCGGGTCGTTGAATAGAAAAGTGAATATCAAGGACCATCTCATTATAAATCAACCAAGTTTGTATCAAAATCCCCATTTTGAATAAGCCACATTTCATCGAAGCCCAACAAGTCATCCTCTTCAGAGCTGAACCGCACTTCTGGTATTTGTTCATCGTTGTAAGCAGAAAGAAGCTCCTTTAGGATCTGCTCTACTTCCAAGCAAGCAATCTTGCCGCTTACGTCCATGGCTTCCATCACGGCCTCTTCCTTCATTAGGGCTTCAATGTTGGATATGGCCAAAGTCACAAATAAATGATCCTTGTTGATCTCTTGACCGACTCGCATACGAAGCCTTGTCCACTCTGCACCCACACGGAGCAGTGAAAGGAGTTCGTGAGCACGCATGTCTCCACCAAGCAGCCCCGTAGGCCAGTGAAGCGAACCCTTGCGTTCCTCAATCATGGTAATCAGCTCGGACGCGATTATCATGAGCGCTTGGAATAGCGCGGATCGATAAGGGCCTGATCCGCAGATACATAGCCGCACGAATTCGCTGCCTTGGGGAGACTGATTCATGGTCATGGCCTGCATTGTCGCTAGTACTTGGTCGTGCCCCGACGCAAGCGGTAGTGAAGAGCGGGCTAGGTTGAGCGCTGTGTCGACGCAGACTTTTCTGGACAATAGGTACGACGGATTGCGAGAGCATATCATCATGTACTGAACATGTAGGGCAAAGCTATACTGGGACATGACCAATTCGCAATATTGACGCTGAAACTCGGACGGTGCTGGCTTCAGAGATTGCAGTGACTCGGACAAGGCACGACAAGCCGTGTTATAATCATTGTTTAGTCCCAGTGTCTTGTCGTAGCCATCTGGGTTGAGCTTTGTGCAGAACCGAGCCATGGCAATACGGGTACCTATTGTGCGGCCTAGTGCGATTTGCAATGACGAATCGGTATATTGATCCTTGTCCCTTGGTTTTGGACTGTGGTTGGAATCCAGATTCAGTTGAGCATCATCGAGATTTGAAGGTAATTTGCAGTCGAAATCATCAAGAGAGATGAGAGGAGCCGCACCCGGATCGAGACACGAGCTCAAAGCGAGCTCGACGACCGTCGTCCATAGTCTGCGGCGCATCTCGGCATGCGTTGCTGACGTGGGCGGTAGTTTTGTCGGGTCACGATGAAGACCGATGGACATTGCTGCTCGGACAAGAGACCCTGACACGATCCATATCCTATCCCCATAGGTACCTTGTAGACCCTCACGAGCCAGCTGGTAAAGACACATGGTCTGAATTGTGGAAAACATTAAACGACGCTTTGCTGCCGACTCGAGCCACGCCCCGGCTTCTCTTGTCCAGTGCAGGGCTTGTGGTCGAAGGGTAAAGTCATCATCGTACACTAGCGAACCCAGGGCCAAGCATAACTGAACTTGAATAATAAATTTGACAGGAGTCACTTCAGTTTCCGACCAGAGGAGCTCATAATCGCGCATAAAACTGGGAATGTGTAGAATGCGATGGATAGTCTCAAAAGTGCGCAGGTAATTGTCAATGAGGACGTCCGCGATTGCTTTCTGAGCAAGGAGCATTCCATATTCGCCATAGTTCCATTGAAGTATTTGCAGGTTCTGGAAATGTTTCGCCAAAAGTTTGCACGTCTGAAGGATTTGAAAAGATTCCGTTTTCTCTTCATTGATCTTTTCCAGCCAAGCCAGATTGTGAGGGAGCTGTACAGGGACTTGTCGTTAATGGATATCTCCCTACATGGTACCAAGTTCTTACCAGTAGTGCGCAATACAGCCAAGCACTCGGTGAAAAGTATCGAGTCTTTACCATCATTGCACTTATGGGAGCTGATAAACTGTCTAGTGTCCCTGATATGCCTCCATCCTTTGCCGGATAGTCTTGATTTGGGCCCGCGTTTGTCACGTCTTGGGTTGACTGGCTGCGTGACAAGTCTGTGGAAGGAGGCGTGGCAACCAATAGTTGGCCAACACTGGAAGAATACCAATTCTGGCCTTGCCGCTGTTCTGTATTTGACGCCAGATGCGAGGTCGGTGATGGAATGGCACTCGTCAGTACCGCATCAAGGGGTTTCTTTGAGACGACTGCGCTGGGGGGAATGACTGAACTCGCTGCGGTCGGCTGAACGGCCGAGGGCGCTGCTCTTGTACTAGCAGCAGAGGCGGCGATGGGTTCCGTAGCGTAAGTGCATACGTTTTGTTTGTCTTTGGATCGTACGCAGCCATTGCAGGGCTGTTGGCGATTGCATCGAAGCTTCTTGTAGCGGCATGATGTACAAGCAAGCGCCCGCCGGCGACGAGTCTTCATTACCGGGGTAGTCGAGTTATGATCGCCCATACTCCCGGCACATAGGGGTTTGTACGTAATCTCTGCTCTTATGATGCGCTGGTGGAACCCAAGTTGCAGTTGACCATCGCATCACCGCTTTCAGGCGTGTCATCTTGGAGGGCGGGGTCGGCATCGGGGTAGGACTTGAGCAGCCAGAGTCCGTCTTGGGCCAAACCCCGTCCCCGGTAAAGCCGATTCTTTCAAGGCATTAAAGTGATTAGAAGCAGAAACGCACAAGTACAAAATAAAATGGCACTCGAATCCTTTCTAATATCTGTGTTTAATCTGATCAACGTCCAAACTACAGTTATAACAGTAATGGCGTCCATTCGTCTGGCAGCAGCTATGAAATTCATTGAGCATTTCGCAACCCTCGACACCAACATTCTCCAGTCAATTCTAGCGACAGACTACATTCATCAATACGCCCCTAGCTCTATTCCCCAGCAAGAGCCTTTCGACAAGCAAGGTCTAATAGCATTCGTGACAAGTCTCAAAACCATCATGAACGGATATCCCATGGTGGTGAAGCTGGCCATGGAAAGCGAGAGTAGCAACGCAGTCACAATATGGGCTGCAGGAGAGGCAATCTTCCGCGACGCGGCCAAGGATGACGGTATCGCCAACCAGGAATGGAATTACAAGGCAGAATACATCTTTATGATATTTCTGGACAATGAAGGAGACAAGATTATCAAGACTATAGAACTTGTGGACAGCAAGGCGACTGTTGATAAATTACTGGGGCTCTCCCAGAGAGCTTACAAGAACATTTCAAACCAGTCTAGCCAGTAAAATGGGATTTGATTACCTGGATTGAGGTATATGGAATAATTGATTGATTCCTCCCACTTTCGATGCAAAGCCCTGCCATGAATGATGTCTTGTAGGATAAAACAAGCACACAAGCTTGGAACTGCTAGATGCTGCCTTGATCTGGTAATGTATAGATTAGCCCATAATGTTGCTACGCCGTACCAGGTGTAAACAACGGTCGCGCTTCAAACCTTATGCCCGGCAGGCACAATGGTATGGACGAGTCTATAAGGAGAAATTGCTTATTGGCTGCGCCAAAGCCGGCTACAGTGGCATCGGTATGAGTCGTCTGGCAGAATTGATTGACGATATCAATCTCAGTGGCTTTAGATCCGGACCGGACTTGCAGGGGATGTAAAGCCGATCTCAGCTCTCGGCTCAGCGTATCGAGACTTTGGACATGGAACAAGGCGGCTTCAAATTCATCTCCGCGTCCGATATCACTGACAAAACTGGTCAGAGAAGTTCTATTAAATAGAGAGGTTCAGACTTTTCTTGAACTTGACCACCAATTTAGAACCATCACGAACATCTCGCCAGTCGAACGAAACCCAGCGCCTCTTATACTGTGCTCCACGTTGCAGACCGACTATCCCTTTGTGCTACAGCGCGACCATGGAGACAAACTTTGACATAACACCAGAAAAGCGGGCAAGCTTCTTGTCCTTTTTCAAACGCCAGCTTTTCCGGCAAACAGCGGTCCTGACGCGGGACGAGGTGAATCTCGCTGGCCAAACAGTCATAGTAACCGGCTCCAACACTGGCATCGGATTCGAATGCAGTTGCCAGCTGATGGATCTTGGCGTCAGTAGGCTAATCCTTGCGGTAAGAAGTACCAGCAAAGGTGAAGCGGCACGCAACATATTATTGTCCAAGAGAGTTGCCGATGAGCAGATTGTCGAAGTATGGCAATTGGATCTGTCCAGCTATGACTCCATTACAAAGTTTGCACAACGTCTCAAGCCGCTGAAATGCCTCGACATTTTTGTCCACAATGCAGGTCTCAACAAAAGGTCGTTCCAGCTCAATAACGAAACAGGACACGAGGAGTGCATGCAGACAAATTATTTATCGCTTGCTCTCCTTACCATCCTAGTATTACCGATAATGCAAGAAAAGAGGTCTCTCAAGGGCCCAGGTCGGATTCTACTTGTCTCTTCCGAGACTGCTGCTTGGGCGCCATTCAAAGAGAGGGAATCGGCCCCTCTACTGGCTGCTTTTGATAAAGCCGACAATTTCGACGGTACCCAACGCTATTGGAACTCCAAGTTGCTCGGCCAGCTGTTTCTGTCGGAACTTGCAAAGCGCATCCCATCATCCGTGGCAGTTGTCAACGCACCCAATCCAGGACTATGCTATGGGTCTAGCCTGACCAGCGAATGGAATGGCAGCGTTCTGGGCTACATCTACAATGCGGCTGTGCGAGCCATTGGTCGTTCTACCTCTGTCGGCGCCCAAGCACTTACAGATGCTGCAGTCAGGCACGGTACCGAGTCTCATGGGCACTACATAGAAGATGGGAAATTGCAACCGTAAGTGTCCAGCGCTTTCTAAATACCTGATTGCTAATTTTGAACCCAGCATGGCTCCCCTCGTCTATACAGAGGAAGGCAGTAGGATTGCGAAAAGGCTTTGGAATGAGACAATGGAGAGTCTCGCCTTTGCTCAAGTAGCCGAGATTGTGCAACACCTAAGTCATTAGCACCGAGGAATCACACTAGTGGATCATTTCATCAATGAATGAGTTCCAACAGGCTGCAGTTGAGTTTGGTGCAAGCTAGCACGCTGGACATTCCCACGCTATAGCTTTTTATACTAGTATTAGAGGACCCAGCCCGCCGGGTCGGGTCCAACGCTTAGGCCTTTTACGTCACCCTTTCCTAATACGGCAATTCTTTCACTCACGATACTTTTTGCATTATTTTTCCAGACTCCAACCTTGTCACGCTGCAATATTTCAAGCTGCAGCTTTTTATGTTGCGGAATAAACGGCATCGTCAATGGAAATAATCCAATCACGCGACGAACCATTCCACGTTTAGCAGTCTCCTACGTGACACTGGATCAATAGGGCTGTAGCTGTGAATTCATTCGTGATTCTACAAGTTATTTACACTCCTTCGTGGAGCGAGCCCGATCACCACTGCTAAAACGTAAATCACGAGGTTGGGTGCGGTCGCAAGTATATAACTACAACCTCAACTACACATATGTGAATGAGGATTCTGCGTATTCTCAATGTAATTCCGTAAAAATTCCCAATAATGCCATGACCATTGCGCCGCATTGGAATGTTGACTCAAATAGTAGCGTCTAGTTTGCTATCTGGGCCATCTTGCCGCCTCTGTTATAAGAGACAGGATGTCTCGGTACCAGTGCCCTCGGCATGCTCCCGTGTTTCTTTGACTGGGACTACTCCATTATCTCCTGCCCAAGAACTAGTTTCATACTCTGCATTGGCAACCCTGTAAAGTCGTGTCCGTTGGTTTGCGTCCTTGAAAATTGAAACGGCTTCGAGGTCTTGCTTACGGACAATGGTCCAATGAAAGTGGCAAGCTTTGTGCAGATCTGGTGCAGAGCCAGTGGCTTTGTGTGCGTCAACTGTGGTCGAAATATCACTGCCTCGAGACTTGTGTCGGTCCCTCCGACAGAGACTGCGGCGACATTCCTGGCTACCCAATGTGCAATACAATGTCACACTAGTTTGAAAACTGCCCGTAGGCCTCTCATGTCCCTGCAACTCGGAATCGACACACTTGTAGCCAAACGAGCCAATCGACCCAAGATCCGCTCCAACAAACTCTTTACATATGGACTGGCGAGTTTGCATTGGAGCGGGTGAGGTCGGCCGTGCCCCGACACGGCCAACACAACTACATTGATCATATCCATAGCACGTCTCTTCGTCATTTGCAAGTCTTGAACCAGTTGTGACCACGTGAGAACGATCCCCCAACTATGTAGCCAGAATGGTAGCACGAGGACGCAATTTTCCGCAGCTCATAGAAGCTCGATGCTTTTAGGAATTTCGGCCCGGCCTGAGCTTTGGGAATTGCTCACTTGGAGCGGCAGAACAAACATCTTTCCCCGATACAAAGGAGATTGGTAGAAAAGGATCTTGCTGCCCGGGAGTATCCTACCGGAAGAGCTGGATGGGTTCTTGAAAACGTCTCAAGAGTGAGAACAATTGTACCAGAGACATTGTTTGACAAAGTCGAAAACACTCTACGCTTATCGAGATGGTGAAATTCTTTACAAGATGTTTCCCCCTTCGATCTGTACGAGCACCGGACTCGTGTCCAGGGGGGCTAGGCCGTCAAGACGAGACGGAAGAGATGGATAGCCACTAGAAACAGAGGCTGGACGATATATCCAAGAGGGAGTTGACGAACGAATGATGTGACTTGAGGAAGTCGGGCATGGCGAATCTCCCCGGATGTAAATCAGTAGCAAGACTGACCTGGGGGCAGACGGGTTCTCGTGCTCAGGCAGGGGGGGACCACGATGTTCACATCGAGCATCGAGGCTGCTGGTGTTTGCCAGGGTTCCCCTTATAATTTAAAGGCTCGGCGGAAGGGGGTGTTGTGTCGCCATCTTGGGCGATCCAGTTCGCAAGACTGACTCTGAAGGCCGGTGAACCCTCCCGAGTCCTGGAAGGGGAGAACAGTATCGCTCCCTGTTGATTGTCAGTCATGCTCTCGTTGTAAAAGAGTTTCAAGGACTGGCATTGTGAACTGCCATGGATGGCAATCTACACCGTGGAAGATTGGCTTGAATAATCGACTGACTCTCCTGTCATTGGGTTGAGTCTTGGAATCAGCAACGCGAGCAATGTCTGCGCAGTGGTATACCACGTATCTATCATGTTCCAGTTCTGGATCCCGCGGAATGCCTTCAAGCTCTCTTGCTCTTGGCTCCGTGACGACGGTTTGCCAGTATCGGCTTGACAAAAGGAAGCTTATCTAGTAGTATCATCCACTTGACCCGGACAGATAAAGCCCTAAGAATGCTGCGTGGTTGCGCTCTCGACCGATATGAGTAGCGAGGCTGTGAATCACTCGGAACCGTAGCACAAAGTATAATATGGCAGCCGCCTGGTACATCATGACCGGCTACGCAGACTGCAACTCTACCAAATCAAAAGAAAGCATAATGTAGCCAGTTGGAGATGGTTAATTAAGCAATTAAGAGGAATCGCGCAACTTGTTCTCCACGATTGCAGCTTGATTGCGTGGACGGTTGCGGTTGAGAGTGAAAAGTTGCTCCAGCAGAGGCTGTCTCAGTGGACAGGCCCCTAAAGCCCACTGAAGGACCAGCGCACCACGATACCTGCACGCGCTGGATGCGAGACGCTGCGCTTTGATCATTGTTTTCCTCGCATCCTGCGAATTGACGCATTAGACTGATGACTCTGTAATTCTCCTTGATCAAGGTAGAGACGGAGAATACGTCGCTTGGTCAGAGTGCATGGTTTGGTGGGTGCAAGTGCAGCCTACAGTCATTTCACCCACTAGCCAACGGAATTTGTATGGGTGTAAAGTGGTTGTTGCACCCATACAAATTGAGTGACAAGGCGGGTGCAATAATTTTGTATGGGTGCAAACATGGAAAGGTTTCCCCACACTAAGTTTGTATAGGTGCAAAGGGGTGTTTGCACCCATAGAAATTTGGTGACAAGGTGGGTGTAATGGTTTTGTATGGGTGCAAAAGCTTCCCCACACACTTTGTATGGGTGCAAAGGGGTGTTTGCACCCATAGAATTTTGGTGATGAGGTGAGTGCAAACGATTTTGTGTGGGGAAACCCTTGGCACCCAAACAAATTACCTACTAGGTACCTGCCTATGGTCGCTGCACCTGCTAGCAAACCAAAGTTATATGGGTGTAAAAAGCCCTTTGCACCCATACAAATTTGGTGACAAGGCGGGTGCAACTGTTTTTTCCCCACACAATTTGTATGGGTGCAAACAGCACAGAACCCCTTTGCACCCATACAAAATCCATTCCATACCTATGCGTTGCACCCCCCAACCAACCAAATTTGTACGAGTGCAACAAGCCCTTTGCGCCCGTACAAACCAGTGTTCAATGCAGCCCGCCAACGCCAAAGGATTGCTACGGGACAAGATGCCATTGATCAGTATCAAGTCAGAAATGTCATTTCCCAGCTGTGTGTGCAGAGCCAATCCAATTTTGAAATGTTGCACGCATAGGAAATCAGGTGCAACAACAGGGCACTCTTACATTTTGGGAGCGTGCATCGGTCCAGCACTGCAAGTCCGTGATGCGTCCATATTAGCCTTTGCATGAGTAGGTGTTTATGTCTCATATAAATACGAGAACACAGAGAATCATATAGAGGCACAAGAACTCATGAGCATATGTTTTGGCTGGGTGCATGGCACAGGGAGAAATTTGCATCCATAGAAAGGCTGCTGGTAAAAGGCGTTGCACCTAGAAATGGTATGAGACACATGGTGCAATCACCCAGTATGGCGTGGGGAATTCTTTGCGCCCATAGAAAGCAAATGCACTCACCAAATTTGTATGGGTGCAAAACATCTTTGCACCCATACAAATTGTATTGAACATAAGGGTGCAATGCGGCGGGTGCCAGGTAAATAGTGGTAAATAGTATGGGGAACTTCCCGCTTTGCACCCATAGAAACCGAATGCACCCACCAAATTTGTATGGGTGCTAAACACCTTTGCACCCATACAAATAGTGTGGGGAACTCCCTACGCAAGCTTTGCTCCCATAGAAAGCAAATGCACCCACCAAATTTGTATGGGTGCAAAACATCTTTGCACCCATACAAATCTATATGGGACACTAGGTGCAACACCTATTGCAGCCCGCCAGCAGACCAGCATAGCCAGATTTGTATGCGTGCAAATTGATCATTGCCTTTATAGAAAAGGAGATGCACCACCAAGAAATGCATGCATCGCCAGATTCACTGGGGTGCAAGATAATTGTCGCTCCTACAGAAAAACAGGTGCACCAGAAGATTCTCATTGAGTGCAGATTGATTATTGCATTTGCGGAGAATCAGGTACAGCACCAAATTTGTATGGGTGCTACAACTTTTAGCACCCATCGAAAATACGTGGGGCATATGATTTGTATGGGTGCAAACATCTTGTGTGGGTGCTAAGATCTTTGCACCCATACAAAAGCACCTGCCCCACGTATAATTATATGAGTGCAAACCTCTTTTGCGCCCATACAAATTTTAGTACATGCCTAGGTGCCATCGTTGCAGTGCGCTACCACCCGAATTTGTTGGGTGCAAACTCGATTGCACCCATACAAATCACCACCCCCACACTATTTTGTATAGGTGCAAAAGAGGTTTGCGCCCATACAAATTTCAGTGCATGCCCAGGTGCCATTGTTGCAAACTCGATTTGCACCCATACAAATCACCACCCCCACACTATTTTATATGGGTGCAAACTTCAATTGCACCCATACAAATTTCAGTACAAACTCGATTGCACCCATACAAATCACCACCCCCACACTATTTTATATGGGTGCAAACCTCTTTTGCACCCATACAAAATCCCAAGCTTAGACAAGGCTATTACCAAGACTCGATGCACGCAACCTGGCTGCACATGTCTGCATCATCTAGATCTCGCCTGATTTCTGCCCAAGCTCACCGAGTCTCTGCTGCAGTGACTCGAGAGTGCACCTC